GCCTTCCCAAAAATACCCCGAATATAACTTTTGCTTTGTATTCTCACCGTTTACTTTTGATTTATTTTTATTTTCTTAAGTGGCATTTAAGTTAATCTTTCCACTAAACTAAGTTGTTTTTATTATTCTTGAATTGTTTCCCTATTTTACTGAATTAATACCTAAAATAAGTTGAACATTAACCTAATAAAAAGCTTAAGAATAAAACTCGAACCAAAATTCAAATTTTTTTCAAATTATACAAATTCGCATTCTATAAATAAATCACTCATTCCAATTCTCATCAGTGTCATTCATTTTCGATGTATTATTCAGCCATTCATTACGTTTCCTCCCGTAGTCATTCCCAATGCTTAAACACTTAATTTTCTTCCATTACAAATTAGTTTTCTCTCTTCTTTTTTTATTATTTTTCATAGGGATACGTCCATCATGCCGTCGCCAAAACTTTAAACTGTGTTACACCTAAACAAAATCAGTCAAATGTATATTGTAAATAATATGTCTACTTGCATATGTAGATCAAATCAACTCAAGTCATCCTCACCCACGCACATGAATCTGGCATTTCATATATGTGCATAAAGTCAGAGAAGTCGTTCCACGTCAACTACATTTCTTTTTTTGCACTTTTATTCGCAAGTGTTTTTCTGTGTAAAGTGTTTAAGTGTTAGATAAAACGAAGAATCAAAACAAAGTGTCATATTTGTTAAACTTAATTGGAATTGTTAAAATAAATATATAAATTAAATATGATTTTTTTACATGTGTATGTACCACTCAAAAGTGTTCCTCATTCATTTGACATTACAAAATAATTGGCAGCTTCAAATCGGCAAAAAGCAGTACGTATTGAAACTTCAAGGTTAATAATCTTTGCAATTTTCAGTTCATCAAGCACGGTTGTGTTTTTATAACAAAAGTATCTCTATTGCTATACATATACTGGTGAATCCTTTTCTATTAAATGATTACGTTTTCTATTTCACAGGCAAAATTTGTAAATCTCTATAGAAGCCGAGAAAGTTTTTAACATTTATATGCACCACAGAGAGTAAATGTATTTTTTCAGCACAGCTCCAACACTATTAATCTTTCGAGTCCATTAACTAACCGGCTGACTTTAAGGATTGTGTATATGTTAATGCATTAGTTAGCTTTTTATTTTTTATTCAAAACCACGCATATCCAATGAACCACGGAAGGAAACTAACAACAAACACCTAAGTCTGCTTTAATTTTAAAATTTAGTTTTTTTTAAATCCAAACTAGCCAAGAGAGAAGCGCAAGTACCTAAAAAATATATTGTAATTTTATGGCCACGAGTATTACAACGGTAATCGAAGGTAATGAAGAGAATCTTAGTCTAATTTTAATCGGACTGCGTAGATACTAGAATTAATTGAACACCAAAAGATCGATGCATAAATAAAAGCTGAGTAGTTAACTGGGTTGTTAAATTTTCGATGTCTCTTATCGTATTGACAATTATATGTGTAAAGTAATATTTCTAACACGACAACTTATGTTGTATGGTTAGCGGTAAAAGGTAGCGGACAAAATTCAAAAGGGTGTCAATGGAAAACTGTGTTATCAGGACGAAAGACTCGAGTTTCCTGTCGATTGCTTAACTCGATTATTCTGTCCACATTTTGCTGCGAAACATTGTCTTTATCCGACAGTTCTACTGGTGTTGATAGTAGTTAGTGTTGCCGAGCAATGGGTCAAAAATGTCCTATGACTATTACGTACATAAATAAATAAAAATTCACCAAAACTTCCACTAAACCCTACTTTTTATACCCTTGCAGAGGGTATTATAATTTCAGTCAAAAGTTTGCAACGCAGTGAAGGAGACATTTCCGACCCTATAAAGTATACAGTGGATCGCAGCTTATTTCGTGCAGTTACCTAAAAAAAGTTCAAGTCGTTATTCCAGCTAAACTAAGAAAGATAACAGAAAAATTTAAATGCAGTATTTTAAAAGGGAATATTAACTTGTTTATTAAATTAAAACGATTTCCTTAATCATAAAAACAAAATAGTTATTAAATAAAAACAAAATGTGCAGGCTTTTTTCATGCCGCAGCTTATTTCGTGCAGTTCATTCTTCTTAACTTATTATTTGTAATTTAAAAGCTAATATTTGGTATGTCCTCATTTCTGGTTCAGGACAGCTTTAAGACGATTTCCCAAGGAAGAAACTAACTTTTAAGTGGTTTCCACTGGATTTTTTGGCCATTCTTCCATAAGAACACTTTACATGTCGTTTTTGTTCGAAATCTTCCTCTTCCTTATAGCGATGTCCAATATTTCCCATAAATTTTTGATGACATTTAAGTCTGGAGACTGTGCTGGCGTTAAGACGGCATGAGGGCAGTTCCAGACAAGATAAACCTCCACAATTCCTGCTGAATGCTTCGGATCGTTGTCCTGGTAAAATCGAAATCGATCGCGTATGCCCAGTTTTTCAGCAGTTTGGAGCAGGTTTTCCTTATGAATCTGTAGGTACATCTTGGCCATCCATGATAACTTCAAAAAAAATTGAGGTTGCCCCGCCAGAAGCTGCCATACAGGCCCAAACTATAACATGACCCCCGCCATGCTTGACTGTAGCTTTTAAAAGTTTGTTTTCGAGCTCTTTATTAGGTCGCCGCCAAACATATTAAACCAAAAAGGTTACATTTTGACTCGTCTGCAAATAACACGTCATTCCAAAACGAAATCGGAAGAAGAATATGCTCCCTTGTTCCTAATACAGAGCTGGAAAGCAAACTCCTATAAGCTACGGTCAAGCATGGAGGGGGTCATGTTATGGTTTGGGCCTGTATGGCAGCTTCTGGCGGGGCAACCTCGATTTTTTTTGAAGTTATCATGGATGGCCAAGATGTACCTACAGATTCATAAGGAAAACCTGCTCCAAACTGCTGAAAAACTGGGCATACGCGATCGATTTCGATTTTACCAGGACAACGATCCGAAGCATTCAGCAGGAATTGTGGAGGTTTATCATGTCTGAAACTGCCCTCATGCCGTCATAACGCCAGCACAGTCTCCAGACTTAAATGTGATCAAAAATTTATGGGAAATATTGGACATCGCTATAAGGAAGAGGAAGATTTCGAACAAAAACGACATGTAAAGTGTTCTTATGGAAGAATGGCCAAAAATTCCAGTGGAAACCACTTAAAAGTTAGTTTCTTCCTTGGGAAATCGTCTTAAAGCTGTCCTGAACCAGAAATGAGGACATACCAAATATTAGCTTTTAAATTACAAATAATAAGTTAAGAAGAATGAACTGCACGAAATAAGCTGCGGCATGAAAAAAGCCTGCACATTTTGTTTTTATTTAATAACTATTTTGTTTTTACGACTAAGGAAATCGTTTTAATTTAATAAACAAGTTAATATTTCCTTTTAAAATACTGCATTTAAATTTTTCTGTTATCTTTCTTAGTTTAGCTGGAATAACGACTTGAACTTTTTTTAGGTAACTGCACGAAATAAGCTGCGATCCACTGTATATATTCTTGATCAGCATCACCAGGAGAGTCGATCTAGCCATGTCCGTCTGTCCGTCCGTCCGTTTCTACGCAAACTAGTCCCTCAGTTTTAAAGCTATCTGCTTAAAACTTTCCCAAAAGTTGTCTTTCTATTGCAGGTAGTATATATAAGCATATAGCTGCCATATAACTGAACGATCGGAAAAGCCATAACGTTGGTGTTTTTAAAGTTAGGAAGTTGGGATTTTCTATGGGATTTATTTTTGGCCAATCAATCCGACCTACCAAATTTCATAAGGATCGGCCGACTATATCCTATAGCTGCCATATAACTGAACGATTGGAAATGCCACAACTTTGGTGTTTTTAAAGTTAGGAAGTCGGGATTTTTTATTAGTGTTAAGAATGCATCCTATGAATAATTTTGGAGAATATAATTTACAGAATATTCTGCAAGGGTATTTCAACTTCGGCTCCGCCCGAAGTTAGCTTTCTTTTCTTGTTAAAAATCAAATAAAAGCAAGGCAAATAAAAATATTAATCGATTTTAAAGGCAAGGTCACTATGGCTAGTTGTATGGTTAGTGCTATTACTATATCAATGGTAACTAAGTAATATAGAAGAATGTTTTTTTTTAATTTTAAATCCTTGACTGAAACCGTGTAAAATTACCAAATGGAGAATATGTATATATTAACATGTTCAAAAACAACGAAATTCTGTGGGCTTGCATGTTATTTTCCCATTTATATTCTGATCTTTCCTTTGGCACCTACATATATTATAAAAACCGTACTTCTGAAATCCTTCAGGTGTCTTTATCACATATAATATGGGTGTAAAGCCTAGTATCAACGAAAACCGTACGCCACTCATGAGAGAGAGCGAGAGGCAAACAGCTGGCGTTCACTTTCCGTCGGGCCTTTTTTTCACGTCGGTCCCCTGATCGACGAAAAAAATACCAGAGCAAAATGTTTTTTAGGTCCAGAATGTACGAAAAACACAATAAAAGTGCAGCTATGAACTTTAAATAAGCAAATAAGCTAATCTTTAAAATAAGCGGCAGACTTGTCTTGCCAAGGTATTTGATAATATCTTTTAAAGGCTCTTTCACGCAAATACAATATTTGAATTTTAACTGCTTGTCAATAAACCCAGCTGATTGACAGTACGACCGTAGCATGCTTAAATCTGATGAACTCTCAAACTTTTGGTCACACTGGAAAGATTAAAGTTTTTACGCTAGCGTAATCGTTTTTCGATCTGGATACTAGGCTTGCACAGTAAATATCTTATAATCCCGTGCGGTTACACACATTTTTGGTAATACCCTAAATTACCCACCAGCCACATTAAGACCTTATGAACCATCTCGAAGGTGGATGGTACTCTGTGGGAATAGGCTATTATAGAACATTTGAAAATGGTATAATAGTATATTTTGAGAGCCGGGCGGTATATCTTATCGATAATTCCGTAGCACACTGGTCACACTGTTATTCTGCGATTGGCAAGAAGAAGAGGCATAACAAAAGTGTTTTTGCATTCTGAGAGTGGAATATTCCTACGCCCCAAATTGGCTAACAAACCCAGAGACGATAAATATTGCTATACACCTACCGTATATACATATAGTAAATCCAACTAAGCCACAATGTACATATAAGGCAGACGTTATCGAAGGTATTTAAGATAATGGCGTCATAAATATTTCCCTTTGTTGTTTTGATAGACTGCAAATATATTAGTTATGAAAATAGTGACTTGTGCCTAACGCATTTTGATGATCTGTCTTCGACTCATACATCTGCGGTTGTGAGTGAGCCTTGATAATAGCTAATGTTTCACTTTCGCAGCGAGTCATTCAGAGCAAGGAATACATTGGATGGGATAGAAGTGCAGCCTTAGAGGACGGAGCCATCACCATGGATCCGCAGAAAATTACAGAACTGGCCAGTTTGCTCCGTCAGAACGGCGACAAAATATTGAGCTCCGAGTTTACCTTGACGTTATCAGGTGAGAAAGCTAAAACTAAACGAAATAAAGACAGAGGTAGCGCGCAAAACGAAAAACATGCGGGTGCTGGCTGATGACTGGGCTTTATTACGAGCTGCCATTTCAAGTCCGATCCCTTATCGCTGCTTTCATCACCTTTTACTGCATAGGCTCCCTCCTGCGGGCACTGAACGACTCCTTCACCTTGATTGCGGACATTGAGATCGGATCCGGTGTATCCCACTTGCAGCTCCAGTCCTTTCAGGTGGTCAAGCCCATTAACGCGAAATCCAGCGTCTTCTCCGACCTGCAGTTAGTTCACGACTTTGTGCAGAAGACGACCCTGCTGAAGCTGACCTACTTCCCTAGCGAGCTACACTTCGATGGCGCCATCGACATAGCGAAATTCCGAGCCCTTCGGCGGCTCGAGGTGAACAAGATCAACATTTGCCAGGTGGTGGGTATCCAACCGCTGCGCAGCCAGCTACAGCACCTGATTTGTGTGAAAAGCTTGACTAGCGTAGACGACATAATCACACGCTGCGGCGGCGACAACTCCAACGGTTTTGTGTGGAACGAACTTCAGACGGCCGACTTCAGCTACAATAGTCTTCGCAGCGTGGACACCGCTCTGGAGTTCGCCCAACACTTGCAGCACCTGAACCTGCGGCACAACAAGCTTACCAGCGTCTCCGCTATCAAATGGCTGCCGCACCTGAAGACCCTGGACCTTAGCTACAACTGCCTCACGCACCTTCCGCAGTTCCACCTGGAGGCCTATAAGCGAATGCAGCTTCTGAATATTAGCAATAACTACGTAGAGGAGCTGCTGGACGTGGCAAAGCTGAACTCTTTAAGCAACCTGGATCTGTCCGACAACTGCCTGCTGGAGCACTCTCAACTTCTGCCCCTGAGTGCCTTGGTGTCCCTGACTATACTAAACCTGCAGGGCAATCCGCTAGCCTGCAATGCGAAACATCGGCAGGCCACAGCGCAGTATCTAAACAAGAACTCCGCATCGATAAAGTTTTTGTTAGACTTTGAGCCACTGTCCAAGGCGGAGAAGGCGCTGACGGGCAGTCAGAAATGGCGCTTCATAGGGCCGCACAACCATCGCCTGCCCAGAAGTAGCTCCTTGTCTATCAACAGCTCCAGCTCCATTAACACCAGCGAAGGCTCGAGCTTCGGTTCTCAGCGATCGGTGACAATAAGGGAAAATGATTACTTGGCAGAAGCAGAGCAGTCCATGGGAATGGAAACTTCGCAGTCCAGCAAGAGGCCAAGCTCAAAAAAGATTAGGACCGTGGATATAGAGGAAAACAGTGACACTGAGCCAGTCAACGCAGGTGTTCACACACCGAAACCTCTATCTGACACCGAAGAGGGAACCGATACTTCCCACCTGGAAACTAAGAAGCAAATTGAGGCCCTCCGTTCTACTTATGGCAATAAATGGTTGAAGACTGGTAATGCAGAGCTGTTGCTGGGTATCGACTCACCGCAGCCTACTGAACGGGAGCGTAGCGAGGCTCGCCAGCTTTTCAACGAGTTTCTGGGAGAATTTTCGGGATCATCTAAGGCGATAGTTGATTATCAAGCAGATTCTGAGCATCTCAACATTAGCTCGACTCCCACAAGCAGCGTTGTGTTGAGTACCACTTTTGACACCACCCTGACCCCTATTAAGTCGGATGCGAACGACGAAAGTGGGCTTAGTTTATACGAGACCTGTACTGAGGGAGAAGTGACAAATTACGTAAGCATTGCCAACACCACCGAGGATGTGTCGGAAAATTCGCGTCAAAAGCACAACGAGCTGTTGAGTCTTTATGCGAATAGCTCAAATGTTGGCCATGATGACGATCCGGGTAAGCCGTTCTCACCTCTTCAGTAATTCAATATCTAAAGTGATACTCCATTATTTCAGTATCCGAGGCAGAGTCCGACGAAGAAACCTATATTGTGTATCATGAACAAAAACCGAGCGAAGCTCTGTTCCTAACCATATCCTCGAACTTCATCCGCGAAAAGGATACTCTAACCGAACGGTGAGCATGAAACTATAAACCATCACTTTAATTTCATGATTTAAGTTTCCCTTCTACACCTTTTAATCCATTTCCAAATAGGACCAAAACCAAATGGAGTCTGAAAATACTGGAGTCATGCGAACGCTTAAAGTCCAATACGTTACGAATGAATTTCGACACGATGCGAAAGGATAAACAGGAGCGGATTTATTGTGTTGAGAATACATTGTGTCAGGTTAGTTACAAAAATTGTACCAATTTCCATCCGCACACCATAGGTGCGGTTAGTCTGGACTGACGTCAAAAGTTAACCCAATTGGTTATAAAAAGTGACTTTCTTTTGTTCCTATAAAGGCACTGGAAAAAAAGCTACGAGATATTCTCTCGCTGCGTGATCTGACCGAAATGAACATATCTATCTATCGCTGTGTGAATTGTCTCACTCAATTTACAATTGAGCAGAAAAGCAAGCGATATAAAACGAAGGGTACGTACAGGGCATAAAGTAAGAACTGGTTACATAAATTTGAAAAACACATTTTTTTAAGATTTGCGCTGTCCGGACTGTCGCAGCGAGTACGTGGCCGAAGTAACGGAGTTGTCCACCTCTTTAAACAAACCATCAGGGGAAGTGGTGGCCGAGCCCAAACTTTCTCCTGCCATGATTGTCGAGGAATTGCCCGTAGACCCATATGTTAAGACGATAAATAAGGAGGAAAGCAACAGCATTGGCAAGTCTTTGGCCAGTTTACTATTTTATATTAAACAAGCTCAAAAAAATTTGTACAAAATTTTTCTTTGTAGTTAATTTGATGGTTTAGCCTTTATTTGAGATTTGCTTTTGGTCTTTGTTGCATTTGGTTAATAATTTTAAGTTTGTGTTGGACATCATTGCCGTACATTAATTCCATTTTTATTTCTTTTTTATTTCTTTTGCATGCGAAATCGAAAATGGCAAAACCAATCTAACTTTTGTATATTTACATTGTTCTTTTGGACTTTTTCTCTCACCCACCAACCGACAACTATAAAATTGTTGTGATGTAAAAAAATTTATTAATATTTTAGTGGCCAACTACAGGCTTTCAACTGCTAAAAACACACCCAAGCGTAGGAGTTTGATGCAATCCACAAAAAGTTAATATGCCATTTGTATACTTTTTATTTTACTAAACAAACAATTTGCCTTTTGCTTTTGTTCTGTAATGTGAAGCAGCAGTTGGGCATGAAGCAATGAAAAGCTAACTTTGTAATAGATGTTGGATAAACAAAGGTCTTTTACATGTCTTACTTCTTAATTTTACAGTTTTCAACTTTGATACTTTAAATTACGTATTATTTGAAAGTATTACTAGATATAAGACATGTAAAATACAGCCAAAAATATGAAAATTTAAAAACTTAATTAAATTTTTAGAAAGTAATGCTGCTTCCGTTAAAAATAAATATAAGGTTAATAAAAGGACATCACTAATATATTAACATTATAGGTTCCGCCAATTCGCTAAACGAAAGCAGCTCTTGTTCGAAAATTACCAACTCGCAGAGCTCGTTTGACTCTAATCAGTCCGTAGTGGGCAGCTCAAACACTAATCGCGATCTAGAGTTTCGGGCGAACGAGAGTGATGTGGACATCATTTCCAATCCCAGCCAGTCCAGCATAGAGGTGCTGGATCCGAACTGCGTCCAAAACGCCAGTCGCAAGACCTCAGAAGAGCGTCGCATATCCCAGCTGCCGCATCTGGAGACGATTAACGATGAAATAGTGCAATCTAAAGGCTTCATCGAACGAGAGTTCGAACAGCTTCTGGCGGAGCAAGGTCTGCCTAAGGCACCTGCTGCTACCGAAACTTCATCTGTGCCCCAAATTCCGCTGACAGAGAGCAGTTCATCAGGATCCGTAACTGACAGCATTTGTACCACCTACGAGCAGCAGGGCATGGATGCTTCGCACATTCTGCCGAATTCGCCTCCCCCCGAGTTGGCAGGCAGTCAGATAAGTAGCTCAGAGGCGGATTCGAATAACCATTTAAAGAAAGCTGAAGAAGCTAGCCTCATACCATTTGCATCCGTCCTCCAATCAACAAACCTGCTAATGTCCAGTTCAAAAAAGATGATCGAGTCAGAAAGTAGCCTCTTAGGCCCTGAACCTTACAAGTTTAACTACAGCGACTTCAATAACATCGATCACCGCCTAAAGCTCTACTTCTACCAGTGCAAGTTCAAGGAGGAAGCCGAGCACTTTAAGTGGCTAGCCAAGGGGCATATATATAACGAGCAGACCCAGGCCCTGGCAGAAGGACTCGTGGTGATGTCAAACTGCAAGTGCTATTTAATGGAGGCGTTTGCAGTACCCCAAGACGACGTGGCCAAGTGGCTACGGCAAGTCGTCAGTGTGTCTGTGAATCGGTTGGTGACGATTGAGCTGCTGCCCTGGAAACTGGGACTGTCTTTCACCCTACGAGATTGGGGAGGATTTTCATTGCTGTTGCACGACATGCTCAGAACCGATAATTTACTTCTTTACTTGCAACGTGAGAAAACTTAACGCTTGATACTTTTTTGTGAAAAATAATGTTTTTTTTTTTTAGATAATCCTCTGGAAGTCCAATGCAAACTGAGTCAACAACCATCGCCCACACTTAGCAATCATTTGCAGACCATAGCATCCGAGCCAGTTAAGATGTGCTCCCTGCTTCCCAGCTGTCAATGGATTTGTGAACACGAGAAGAGCAGCTTTGAACCCTGTCTACTTCTAATCACGGAGTCACACTTGTACATCTTAGGAAATGGCATATTCTCCTGGCTATCGAACAAAATTCAGAAAAAGTCAATTTATCAAGAATTAAGTCTTAACCAGCCCTTAAGTAATTTGGTGGACGTGGAACGTATCACAGACCATAAGTATGTAATTAACTTTATCGATGAGACGCAAAACAAGACCGAGATCTGGCAGTTGATGTTCGAGACGCATGAAAACGCCGCGTATTGTCTAAATGTTATTGGACAAGGGTGGAAGCAGCTGTTTGGTGTGCCATTCAGCATTTCTGGAACGTAGTATAGCTCTCTAGCCTTCCCTCGGCTACTAGTAAGGGTTACCTTGCATCAGAAAAGAAAAGTTTATTGTGCAAAATCTAGAATTGTTGATCTTTATTGACTATGTTATTTAATGTCAAATTAGTTTTATTAACTTATCCTACGCATATGAAGGGTAAGGTGTAGAATAGGTTTTAAGTAATCAGAAATGGTGCTGACCAACGAAATAAATATAAATAGTTATAATATAATGGTTTTTTCTTAAAACCCTGTAATATATTCAAATTATAAAAAAAAAAGTTGTCCTTTTTCAATTTCTATACCCTTTCAGAGGGTATCATATAGCTCCCATAGAAACAATCGGGGAAAAAAAAATTGAAAAAATTCTTCCTGCCTTTTAGGACTTGCCTGCGGTTTTTCATTTTTGGGTTTAACAGTTTAAAAATAATGTCACGAAAAAGTGTCCAGGGTCCTTGCTCAGCAACCTCCTACTTTGTTTTTGGTAATTAAATAAATTATTAAGTAATTAGATCGCTCCAAAAATAAAATCGGATTTCTTATACACTTTTTCAAATAGTTTTGTTTAGAATGTTGGCCTATTAATCTCGCTACGGCACGAGTTTCAGTTAAATATTTTATAAATAATTTTTCTGCCTCCAGTTTCTGATTTATCACTTTGCCAAAATATCATAAGATTTTCATAGGCTTTTGGTAGATCCAAGTTGTTTATTCAAACTCAATATCAACTAAAATAAATATGAAGGCTTAAACATATTTACTTACTCTTTACTTACATTTAGAACCATCCTTTTTGGTACAACTTAAGGAGTTCTCGTGAATAGGAAGAAATTAAAATAAATTCACAAATTACCGGAAGTCTTGGGAATATTTAGACAAAAAATCTGCAAACATTGTCAGCGCCTATGCAGATGATATGGAAAACGTCAAATTGTTTTTCACATCATTTAAAATTGCCTAATAAAATAAAGATGCTTGTAGCAGTCTTCTTTTGTTTCAAACCATAAACCTTAAGAAAATCTAGGGCCTCTTGACCGAATTTTCTACAGGCCTAAAAGGTAGTGAGAAGACATCAGTGAGTCATAAATTATATATATATGTATATTTGATCAGCATTATCATGTGATGTTATTGGGCATATCCTGTCTAACCCTATTTAGGCAAACTAGTATCTCGGCTCTTAAGCTATCTACTTGGTAATTTCAAGTACTTCTTTCTATAGCTGAAAAGCGGACCACTAAACCTATTTTCATGAATTTTGTCACACGATACGGTTATGATACGGATTAATTATTTTATAAGCGTACAACATTTAAACTATGTTTTTCACAGAAAAAAAAATTAAATGAGCCGTTTGCAGCAAAGCTCCTTAGACGCCTCCCAGAAAAATGTTTTGCGGTGAAAAAATTAAAAAAAAATTGTTTATTAGTTAAGATGTTTCTAAAGGTAACTAAGTTAAGTTTTTTTATTTAATTTTTGGATTTTTGGTAACACTTTAAAGTCAAAAACGTGAATTTAGCCTAAAAATTCGATATATTTTTTATTATAAAATGAAAAATAATCATTAAAAAAAACATTGGTGTCTGTACCTGAGGAATTAGGTACAGAAATAGTGTGCAAAATTTCAAAACGATTCGTCCAGTATATGTTGCAGGATCGTGTTCAGCGTCTTTGAAATGGCAACTTTTAAGAAGAGTGTTTACAGTTTTAGACACCAAAAAATCGAATACAAAACGAGCTAGCTCACCTACGTTCAACTACCTATAGGATCGGAAGTTTTACTCGGATCAATCTAAAATTTTAACGCAAAATTTTAACGCAATTTTAATGCATCCAGAAAAAAAAACAAATAGGCAAACAAAAATTTAAATACCATACCCCCTTAATAAAATTGTGTGTATCGTGTAGTTGTGGTTGAGAATGATTAATAGTATTTGTCAATAATTTGTAGTAATATTATATTTATGGGTATCTTGTAAATGAGATTCCAATTCCAATTAAGCCTTACTATATGCCTTGCATTTATATTTTGATGAGATTTTTGTATATTGAATTTTAAATAATTCTGAGCCTTATTACCCCAAGCTACGCATCTCGTCTTTTAAATAATTTATTACTTATCGCCCAGCTGTTCTGCGATCCAGTCCAGATGTTCTTCCTTAAAGCGAGGATCTGCCATGGTAAGAGCCGTAGACTTGGAGCTATAGTAATAGAAAACCGACACTGCAACGGGGGGTGAGAATATTAAGATAAGTGTAGAAGGAATGTTTCCGGAACTCACTTATGCGTTGTCCCACTGATAAAGCAATCAGACCCAATGGCCAATTCTGACCATGATGGTATTGGTAGATGATCCAGAAGTGCTGGGAGGCAGACAGTAGGAAGTAAATGGTAGTGCTGGCCATGAAGAGCTTGCAGTTCCGAAGAATTATGTGGGAGGCGCCCACTTGGTACACACAGGTTGAGTGTAGAGCCAGAGTGAAAAGCAGGTACTCCGCAATGATCAGAGCGTCCTGGGTGCTGTGATACCTTGGTGCGGTCAGTAAACGAAATCCGTCGTCCTATCGATACTCACACAAAGAAAAATATTGCTGACTGCAATCGGTTTCTAGCCAGCGCCGGTCCAAACGAGTTGAAGGCTAGATCAACTCCCAACAGGGTGAGCTGGAGCATGAGCACCCAGGAGTAGCGTCGCAGAGTTAGTTTCATAGCGGGATCTTAATGCCGACCAAGTGCTTGCGTTGTCAGTTTGTTTTTGTTGAGCCTTACAGTGCAGGGTTTGTTGTGTCCTTCGTCCTGGTGACGTCAAACGTACCGCCACGGTCATGCGCCCTGCCCGTCTTACCAATAGTTTATCGATACAGAAATATCTGTCGAAAGACATAAGGGCTGACTGTTATAAAACTACTATATAACTCTCAAATTGGAAAAAAGTGTATTAAAAGATTATAAATCACAATTATGTTCGAAGTTTTCTGTAGATCTGGTATTTCCGATATTTCAAATTTAACAAAATCATCTTTTTTTAAGGTCACACAGAAATAAAAAATTGAAAATGTGTTTCAGCTTTTAAAAATCAAACGAAAAAATATTTTCTTCACATCCTTTTTTAACATGCGAAAATTTGATATATTTACTATTTTTAAATTACTCATAAGATGCATTCTTAATACTTAATACACACACCCTTCGTTTCTTTGCACGCAGTCGGAACGGCCGGGGTCGGCCGACTATATCCTATAGATGCCAAATAACTGAAAAATTGGAAATGTAATAACTTTGTTGTTTTTAAAGTTAGGAAATTGGGATTTTTATGGGTTTTTTGGCCAACCAATATCATTTACAGAATATTCTGCAAGGGTATATCAACTTCGGCTCCGCCCAAAGTTAGCTTTCCTTTCTAGTTTTTTGGTATTTTTGAAAAATTTACCCTACATAAATATATTAAGACCACTAAGTAAATTATTGTCTAAGCTACCCGGTTTAGCTTTTACCCATAAACCAAAATTAAAAGATACAAACATACACTAAGTTGCATTTATTTTCAGACATATCGAGCATATTCAAATGGATAATGTTGCCGATTTCCTGTTCCAAGTCTGTTGATCAGGCCAGCCTGTCTTCGAAATCTCCTGTAGTACTGCTGGTTTATCTCGGAGTAGAAGTTTGTTGGAAGGTGGTGGGACCAGCTCTGATCCGGATCGGCATTGGGTTGCTCCAGAAACTGAAACGTCGATACGGAAGTGATTTTGGCGGCCCTTGCGGGCCAGGTAAGCCATGTCGAATTTAAGGTCACCAGAACCAAGACCAGAAACCAGAACGTCATCGTCTAAGCCGTGTGTAAAGCCAGCTGAGTGACCAATGCCCGGCACCCAATTGCTCGCTAAAAAGTCACCTATTGTTTCGGGTCGTCAGCAGTTTGCGAAACGTCCGTTTGCAATTTTTCCGATCGGTGTCGTTCTACTCCGGCAGTGGGATCAGCGTTTTCGGAATGGGCTATAAAGTGAGTTGGCTCGGAGGGTTCCATCAACAGTCACCCTTCGTTCGCCACTTCAGCAGCAAGCAAAGATAGCAAGAGTATCAACCGCAATGGCATTCCACATTGGTCACCTTCTCATCGCCGCCTTCTTGGCCCTGTCCGTCGTGTCCTCCGAGACCATTCAGCTGCAGCCCACGCAGGGCATTCTCATCCCGGCGCCGCTGGCCGAGAACATCCGCGTGTCGCGTGCTGCCTACGGCGGATATGGAGCTGCTCCCGCCGCCGCCTCGTACGCCGCTCCCGCTGCTTATTCCGCACCCGCTCCCGCTGCCCCTGCCCCTGCCTACTCGGCTTCCGCTCCAGCTGCCGCTCCTGCCTACGCCGCCCCCGCTCCGGCCGCCCCCGCCTACTCAGCCCCGGCCTCCATCCCGTCGCCGCCATGCCCCAAGAACTACCTGTTCAGCTGCCAGCCCTCTCTCCAGCCCGTGCCCTGCTCCGCCCCAGCTCCGTCCTACGGATCCGCCGGCGCCTACTCGCAGTATGTGCCCCAGTACGCCGTACCCTTCGTCCGGGAACTGTAAGGCAACGAACCGAACAAACTGGAAAATCGAATCTATGAATAAAGTAAAGCTTATATAAACCAACATAATTGAACCTATTTTCGGGGACATTCCTGAGTTTCTTACCGTTTTACTTGGTTCCACAGAAGGAAAGGCCTTTCGGTGTGAGTCATTTTAGGTTTATAATAAACTAATGAAAACGTAGGCCTGGTTTAACAGCTAAACTAAGTCTTATTCGTATTTTTGTATCAGTACGAAAAACCAGTTTATAAAACCAATCGGATAGGACATTTTTTTTGCTGCCATAAGAACGATCTTACTATAGTCGATTAATATGATACTAGCATCATGTTATCGAAACGATAAAGTTAGGCGACTATATTCTACAGCTATCTCCTTAAATATCATAAATTAGAACGAGATTATAGTAGGACAACAATTCACAAGTCTATTAAATGACTACTTTATAACTAAAAACTACATATATAAAAAAACAATAAAACTATGTCAATTATTCTGTTAATTTCTGACTAAAAGGCATTTTCGAAATTCTAAAGACCTAATCGTTTTCCAACTTTTTGCCCACTTTTGCCAACCAATTATCGAACCTTATAAAACATAATAGTGACTTTTTAAAATGTTATTTTATTTTTAATTTCCAAACAATCGTTTGAAAAAATAAAAATAAAACTGATAAGTTTTGATAATATTTTCCACATGAAAAAATCGTTATTTCGAATAAAAAAGAAAAAGTAAATTGTAGACAAATGATTCTTTTGCAATTCCAAGTCACAAAAAGTATGTTCGCTATTTTCAGGCTTTTGTTAATTAGTGAGTCCTTTATTATCTTAAAAGCCCGCGCTTGAGGTGGATCCACAGGAAACCAACTTGAAAACTGCTACACAAGAGGACCCGTAGTTTTTTAGACAAGCCAGCGAAGAAACATTGCTGAATGTGAAAAGTCGAATGTCGGCAAAATATGAATCCACCTTGGAGGTCCAGGACGACCAACTCCGAGTCCAGGACCACCTTCTCCGTATCCTGGACCTCCGAATCCAGGACCACCACCTCAGAATTCAGGACCACATAGTCAAGGACCTCCTGGATAATTTGATGTCTCCTTCTTCGATTCAACTGTGTGTCCAAATCCTCCAGCAGAGACTCAGCCGGCTGACCTCGCAATGGAACAAAGTCGTGTAGCGGCAGAGGAAGACTCCTCAAGCACCGAGTACAGGGAACTCGCACCGACAAAAGGGCTAGCAGTGTAGTTACTGTAAGCTGAGTACAGCCAAGTGGCGGAGGGGGTCCGCCTGGTTTTGTGACCTCATGCAAATAAAAGTGCCGAACGCAGCGAAAACGGAGACTGCCAAGGTAGCCCCATCAACGGTGTCAGTTGGTCGCACATTCCAGAGGAAGTGTAAGATCGGAACTGGGACAGTATTGAAGGTCTGAGCTGCGCTTATAAGTGTGGGTAATGGGCTGGGCTAATCCGTGGACACGGGCTGCCCTTCTATTCGTGCCCCAGTCGAGTCATCACTGTTTGCAGAGCTTGGCTCGAAACCTTAAGAGAACCTGAAGCCCGAAGGTCAGCACATTGTACCCGTTGTCGTTTTTCGGAGTGTAGGCTGACCGTTCTGCCAAGCATTTAATGGGATATGATATCGCATTTCCAAGCAGTTGCACTTTCCGCTTTTCCGCTTTCTCGTTGGCTTGGATGTGTCGCAAGCATTTCTTCTTATTTCGCCACACCGTCTTAGTAAAATAAGCTTATATTTTTGCAAAGGTGGTTATAAATTGAGGGCTATTGGAAAATTCGGAACTGCTTAGTTGCGATTAATGGCTATTTCTAGGCACGGGCGGTTCTGGAATAAAATTAACAAAACTCTAATTTAATGATTTTCATAAAACCAATGATCAAATAATTTAAATTGCATATAATTATTATAGGAAATACAAATAAAAGGATACCTATATGGCAGCAAAATCAAAATTTGTTAAAAATACATAATGCTCCCTAAAATTATTCTAAAATTGCTATATTATTTATGTTTTGTTTTTATGATATACGCATACACTTTATATGCCGCTGACAAGAAATAAGTGGATCGTAAGATGCTTTATATTTACGATCGTTCCCAATCTTTTATTAATTTGATTGCTAATTCTTATGACTAAATTTACTGCCGCATGTTCCTGGCACTTAAACACACTTGGGTTTCAGAACATACGTCTTCAAAAAAGATGTGTGCTTGTTGTTTCTGTGACGACCATTAGTCAATATTTTTCTGATATGATAAAATATCCTTTTTGCAGAGGGTAACGTCCAAAAATCCCGAAACTCTTAAGAGAGATGGAAGAGGTTGGTTATTGTAGGATATACAAATGTTGGCACCGCTCTTTAAAACTTTGTCAGTCAGTATGTTTATTTTGACACATTTATTTAAAAATTGGTTAGTTGAATAACGAGTGTCTGACTAGACTCGACTAAAGCAGTTCTCCTCGCTTAAAATGGGTTTTCAAATGTTTATCCCAATGGCGATTCGCAAACTGTGCCCAAAGCTGTCACTACTTGAAGTAAAATATGTGCATAAGGTCTAAGTAGTATTTTCATTATTTATGAACATATGAACGAGGGCCATGATATTTTTAAGGAAACTAACTATTCAAATATAATACTTTCCTCTTGTGGACAGCCATTTTATTTATTCATAGTTTTTTTTCTTTGTGTGCAAGGCTTTATATTTTTACATCGAAGTTCAAAAATAAATTAAAGTATCAGAAGCGCTTTATTATAAACAAGAAAGGAAGAAAAATTCAGCAAGCCGAAGTTTATATACCTTTGCTGCTGTTACAAAAATTAAATATTATATTATATATATATTTCGATTTCGATGCTTAAAAGCAATGAAGCTAGGTCGATTTTCCAATACATTTTTCTATCGTTCCTATGGCAGCTTTATGATAAGGTCATAAACGGACGTGGATATATTAACTCGCCTGGTGATGCTGATTAAGATTTATAAACTTCTGACCAAAATTATAACACCCTCTGAAAAGGTATACCTTATATTATATATGTTATATATAACATATTAAAAACTTAATCATTATATTTTTATATTATACATTATATAATTTTTGTAGAACACAGTCAATGTTTTTAAGCAAACATTTTTATACCCTTGCAGAGGGTATTATAATTTTGGTCAAAAGTGTGCAACGCAGTGAAGGAGACAAATTCGACCCTATAAAGTATATATATTCTTGATCAGGATCACCTCCTGAGTTGATATAGCCATGTCCGTCTGTCCGTCTGTCCGTCTGTCTGCCCGTCTGTCTGTTTCTACGCAAACTAGTCTCTCAGTTTTAAAGCTATCGAATTCAAACTTTACTTTCCTTTGTACCCAGTATATATGTAAGTCGGAACGGCCGGGATCGGCCGACTATATCCTATAGCTGCCATATAACTGATTGATCGGAAATGTCATAACTTTGGTGTTTGTAAAGTTAGGAAGTTGGGATATTCTATGCGTTTTATTTTTGGCCAATCAATCCGACTTACCAAGATCCATAAGGATCGGCCGACTATATCCTATAGCTGCCATTGGAAATGCCATAACTTTGGTGTTTTTAAAGTTAGGAAGTTGGGATTTTTTATGAATATTACGAATGAATAATTTTGGAGAATATAATTTACAGAGTATTCTGCAAGGGTATATCAACTTCGGCACCGCCCGAAGTTAGCTTTCCTTTCTTGTTATACCCTTGCAGAGGGTATTATAATTTTGGTCAAAAGTGTGCAACGCAGTGAAGGAGACATCTCCGACCCTATAAAGTATATATATTCTTGATCAGGATCACCTCCTGAGTTGATATAGCCATGTCCGTCTGTCCGTCTGTCCGTCTGTCTGTCCGTCTGTCTGTCCGTCTGTCTGTCCGTCTGTCTGTCCGTCTGTCTGTTTGTCTGTCTGTTTCTACGCGAACTAGTCTCTCAGTTTTAAAGATATCGAATTGAAACTTTGCACACACCCTTCTTTCCTTTGCACGCAGTATATAAGTCGGAACGGCCGGGATCGGCCGACTATATCCTATAGCTGCCATATAACTGATTGATCGGAAATGCCATAACTCTGCTGTTTGTTAAGTTAGGAAGTTGGGACTCTCTATGGGTATTATATTTGGCCAATCAATCCGACGTACCAAATTTCATAAGGATCGGCCGACTATATCCTATAGCTGCTATATAACTGATTGATCGGAAATGCCATAACTTTGGTGTTTGTTAAGTTAGGAAGTTGGGATTTTCTATGGGTTATATATTTGGCCAATTAATCCGACCTACCAAATTTCATAAGGATCAGACGACTATATCTTATAGCTGCCATATAACTGATTGATCGGAAATGCCATAACTTTGGTGTTTGTTAAGTTAGGAAGTTGGGACTTTCTATGGGTTTTATTTTTGCCCAATCAATCCGACATATCAAATTTCATAAGGATCGGCCGACTATATTCTATAGCTGCCATAAACATAACTGAACGATTGGAAATGCCATAACTTTGGTGTTTTTAAAGTTAGGAAGTTGGGATTTTTTATGAGTATTAAGAATGCATCATATGAATAATTTTGGAGAATATAATTTGCAGAATATTCTGCAAGGGTATTTCAACTTCGGTTCCGCCCGAAGTTAGCTTTCCTTTCTTGTTTTAATTTATTTTAGAACACAAATATAAAAGAAATTGTCATAATTACTTTTAGAATTTGTATATTTTTGTGTTGGACCATTAAAACACAGAATATAAAATGGCATTTTATGTATTTTAAGCCGAAATTAATGAGTTCGCGATTTTCAAATTTCGTTTTAAATTGTTTTTAATAGAAGAACAATAAAAACAAGAAAGGAAAGCTAACTTCGGGCGAAGCCGAAGTTGATATACCCTTGCAGAATACTCTGTAAATTATATTCTCCAAAATTATTCATATGATGCATTCTTAATACTCATAAAAAATCACAACTTTCTTACTTTAAAAACACCAGAGTTATGGCATTTCCAATCGTTCAGTTATACGGCAGCTATAGGATATAGTCGGCTGATCCTTATGAAATTTGATAGGTCGGATTGATTGGCCAAAAATAAAGCCCATAGAAAATCCCAACTTCCTAACTTAACGAACACCAAAGTTATGACATTTCCGATCAATCAGTTATATGGCAGCTAAAGGATATAGTCGGCCGATCCTTATGAAATTTGGTAGGTCGGATTGATTGGCCAAATATAAAACCCATAGGAAATCCCAGCTTCCTAACTTTACAAACACAAAAGTTGTGGCATTTCCAATCGTTCAGTTATATGGCAGCTATAGGATATAGTCGGCCGATCCTTATGAAATTTGGTAGGTCGGATTGATTGGCCAAATATAAAACCCATAGGAAGTCCCAGCTTCCTAACTTTACAAACACCAAAGTTATGGCATTTCCGATCAATCAGTTATATGGCAGCTATAGGATATAGTCGGCCGATCCCGTCCGTTCCGACTTATATACTGCGTGCAAAGGAAAGAAGGGTGTGTGCAAAGTTTCAGTTCGATAGCTTTAAAACTGAGAGACTAGTTTGCGTAGAAACAGACAGACGGACAGACGGACAGACAGACGGACAGACAGACGGACAGACGGACAGACGGACATGGCTATATCAACTCAGGAGGTGATCCTGATCAAGAATATATATACTTTATAGGGTCGGAGATGTCTCCTTCACTGCGTTGCACACTTTTGACCAAAATTATAATACCCTCTGCAAGGGTATAAAAATAATGGCAAATTTATAAAATTTGTAAACTTTGTTAAGCCTTAGCATCTATAATAACGAAACAATCTATATTGCGCGTAAAAGAAGGTTGAAGAAGTTTCTTTTTCTAAAAAAATGAGCACTCAAAGACCAAAACACTCAAAAAAAATTACAGAAATTACTTATATTACTTCCACCCTCACTGGCTCTCCAGAGATGGATGGAGTCGACGGACAAGGATTCGCGAACCTAACCCATCTTTATGAATTAAAAAAAAAAATTTTTAAAACAAGAAAGGAAGCAAGCTTTGGCAAGCCGAATTTTTTATACCCCTGCAGTTATTACAAATCGACTACATTCCGATTTCTATGGCTATAGTACTAAAAATAATTTCGATTTTGCGATGCAATTTGTCATCGCTTCTATGGCAGCTATATGATATTGTTGTCTGATTTAAATTTAATTAAATTCGTAAATCCATAATATTTAAATATTACCAAATCCCAAAGAACAAAAAAAAATTTGAAAAACAAAGTTATAATTTTTTTGAATTCTTTTTCCGATTGTTCCTAGCTATATGATATAGTCGCCCGATCCGGAATAGAAAGACAACTTTTGCGTAGAAACGGGCGGACGGACCGACGGACATGGCTAGATCGACTCTCCTTGTGATGCTGATCAAGAATATATATACTTTATAGGGTTGGAAATGTCTCCTTCACTGCGTTGCAAACTTTTGACTAAAATTATAATACCCTCTGCAAGAGTATAAAAAGGAATACACTCACTGATTTTTATTAAACAGTAACACCTCTTAACGAGGTAAAAATGTCGTGACGATCGCACATTCAACAAAAAAAAATTATGAAGTAAAATTCGTGACGAAAAATGATTAAGCATTCGATTAAATAAAGAGGTGTTAAAGGGCGTTTTTGTTTGATATCGGAAGTTTTTGTTTTAACTACTGTTGAAGAAAGGGGCTCCGAAAACTGGCTTCCATGCCCATATGTGTCAATATTTTTGTATTCTTTTTTTTTTTATTTGAAGTATCGTTTCAAATGACAATAAATATCTTGTAAAAAATATAAATGTCACAAATGCTCATGATTTACTTTAACTAGCTCTAATAAGAATTTTTCATCATCAAATCGGCTTTGCATGGTTAGCTTAGTTTTCTGCGCTTAAAAAAATAAACATAAAATGTTATTTATAAAGATCTGAAAAAGCTGAGAAATCAAAGCTATGTATAAGAGCTCGAGTCTTAAAAGAAATCCCCAATAGCGCTTTCAAAAAAAATTCCTAAGACGTGAACACAAAAATGAACTCTTGACTATAATTTTACTTCGAGAAATAATCTCATAATAAAGTTAATATAGTCTCAAAATACTTTTTTAACGATGCTTACCACGTACCCCTGTACCTTTAGGAGTTTAAAAACAAGGGGCGATTTAAGTCTTGCGGAAAAAAGATAAGTCAGCGGGTTATTCATATAGTCGTAGAATAGACGTTTTTTATTTCAAGCTGTTTGGAAAAGTTAAATGATTGTAGTCCCAAAGGTCCTTATTTTGATGTGTACATACTAGAGTTGGTTTTCATTTTAAAAAAATCTTTTTTTTCAATACTTTTGGAGCCGTGCTCGGATTCTTAGTAAGTTATCCCACGCGTATTTTCATCAAGAATGCAACTAGCCTAAAAAACATTTTTCCCCCTGGTCCAAGCCGATCCAATTTTTAAAATGGTTTTTTTTCCTTTCACCGGTAATTCTCGTAAAACAATTTTCATAAAGTCTGGCTAAGCAATAGTTAAAGGAATACCTTTGGATCGAACCACAGTGAAAATGAATTTCTTTCACTTAAAGAAGACCCTACAGTTATGAATTTATTCATTAAGGCGGAATATCTTGCCTCCTTTTTCAAAATCTATTATATTTTTTTTTGAGAGAGGGCTCCAAATTGTATGTCACGTTTCCCACCAAATAACACTTTTCCAACTTTATATACAAATTGGATACTCTTCTCTTCGAAACGTTTTATACTTTAAGTAGTTTGGGACACCAATAAAAATAATTTTTGAGGCTTAGCTTTTTTCTGTGATTTAATTGCAATACATATTTTTTTGTATAATTTTTTTAAATCCATCATGGCTTGTATTTTTTTGCGATCGAGTTCGTAATCCGGGGCCAGGGATCATAGCCTTATGGAGCTGACGCTCAGTAATGGTATCCATAGGCCTGCGGCACGTAGGCGGCGCTGAAGAGCTGCTGCTGGTGCTGGGGAAGGCCGTAGTTGGGGGCGACGTAGGTGGCCACCGGTGAAGAGTAGGCGCCGGAGGATCCGTAGCTGGGGGCGGGTGCACTGCATGGGACCGGGGCGAGGTTGGGCTGGCAGCTGAACAGGTAGTTCTTGGGGCAGGGAGGAGCCGGGATGCTAGAGCCGCCATAGCCGCCGGAGCTGCCGCCGTAGGCGGACTTGCGAAGACGGGTCAGGTCACCGAATCCTTGTCCGGCGCTTCCCTCCAGCTCGCCCTCTTGGGTAGTCAGGGACACCGTGGAGCCAGTGGACGATGCCACGTTGGTGGGCGACGCCAGGGCGGCGGAGACGAGGGCGACCAGAGCGATGCACACAAAGGATTTCATCTTGATTGGTATGTGAAGATTGATCTGAAGACGGATGAAAGCGGGTTGGACTGTTTGTAGTTACCAAAGGTGACTGATGCCAATTTCAGGCGGTTGCGTATTTTATATAGCCACCCAATCTGCGTAGCTAGCACTATATGCAGAACTAAGTGGCTAGATCTATTCTTCGTTTTTGCCTTGACTACTTTTCTGCTCCATCAGCTCAATGCTTAATGGTAATACCGCTGACTTTAATAACACCAAGTCGTCAGCTTTTGGGGTCATCACTAGGCAAAATAACGTTTAGGTTGTCGAAAATTGGCTTGACATTTAGGGCATTGTACTTTAAAAATGGGTGGGAGTTATGCACCTCTTTAAACATGTATTCGAATATTTAGCGAACATTAGAACATTGAATTTGTAAATTTCTGCAGCATATATAAACAAATTTATTAGGCTAAAAAGTGGAGGGAAATAAATATTTTTTTGTAGGATAAACTTGTATTTTCCATTTTTAATCTTGAATTAGAAAATAAGTTTCATTCTATCAATTTTATTCTTAATTTAAAACATAAGGGTTATTTGTAATTTGTATTTTAAATTAAAAATGTTAATGTTAATCTGTGATTTTTATTTTAATAATTTATTTTAAAAATCAAAAATACAAAAATCAAATTCAAACCACTGACTGATACTTGCTTTTCTTTTTTCCAATATTATTTTTTTTTCAAAAGATCTTAGAAAACGTGATACTTAATGAAATTATTTGTACGTTTTAAATGTACAAAAGTATACTACACTCCCCAAGGGTTTAAATAACCTAATTTGACCTTGTATAAAAGTCAAACTAAACACCTTTTGGAAAGGTAAGACTAACTGCTAATATCCAATACTTTGAAGACAAATTATTGTATTTTCGTGTAAGAAAATACATTTCCTACAATGTTCCTATTTAGCAGGTAAAATAAGCAGCAAAATTTTCTCAATGTGAAAATGGTCTAATAAAATTAAAAAATTTTGAACGGAATACCGTTCGTTAAATATTTTATTAAATAAAATATTATTGTTTTAAAAAATGTTAGTTAGTAAATTTATGAAGTAAAACAGTACTTCATGATTAACATTTTTCTGATCCGACTAAATTAACTACAACTTGTAATTCTGTGGCAACAGTATTTGAACGATTCGTTCACAGCAAAAAGCAAAATCTTGATAAGTCAGTATTATACTCGAAGTTTGATGAACATTTGTAATAATTTGTGGTATTATGTAACTAAAGGCATACCAAGGCTCTGATAGATAATTAGGTAAGGAATGGAATGTTTTCAACTGAAATAAGATTTTAAACAGAAAAAACCTTGAATTGATGGGCTATTCGCCTCACTGGCTTCACTTAAAACAAAATTCTTTGTTTTTGTACAAGATGGTTTTGAATAACACTAAAAAAAGATGTTTAATTTTAATAATAATAATAATAATAATAATAATAATAATAATAATAATAATTAATATTTTTGATATTTTAAAATAAAACAAGAAAGGAAAGCTAACTTCGGGCGGAGCTTAAGTTGATATGCCCTTGCAGAATACTCTGTAAATTATATTCTCCAAAATTATTCATATGAGGCATTCTTAATACTCATAAAAAATCCCAACTTTAAAAACACCAAAGTTATCGCATTTCCAATCGTTTAGTTATATGGCAGTTATAGGATATAGTCGGCCGATCCTTATGAAATTTGGTAGGTCGGATTAATTGGCCAAAAACAAAACCCATAGAAAATTCCAACTTCCTAACTTTAAAATCATAGTCGGCTGATCCCAGCCGTTCCGACCTACATACTGCATGTATATACTGCATGCAAAGGAAAGAAGGGTGTGTGCAAAGTTTCAAGTCGATATCTTTAAAACTGAGAGACTAGTTCGCGAAGAAACAGACAGACGGACATGCTTATATCAACTCAGGACTCAAGAATATAAATACACTTTATGGGGTCGGAGATGTCTTCTTCCTGCGTTGGACACTTTTGACCAAAATTATAATACGATCTGCAAGGGTATAAATATGTTCTTAGTACAAGAACAGCAGCTTTTTGATTGTTTGCACTGATATGTTGCAGACAAAATTGAAAAATAATTTAGAATTTAAAATTTTTATCATAGATTGAACTTTCAATAAGTATGTCGCAAACATCAGCTTTATGAAAGTCTTTAAAAGCTAGCTGCAGTGAATGGAGGCACGTTTTATAAAAAATCTCTTACCAATAACTTAAGAATATTTATTAATATTTTATTTTTGTCTTGGATAGCATCGAATCATCAACTCTTAAGATTTAGATGATAACAACTGGGTTTAATAGAACCATTTGTACACTTTGCTAAACATGGTAATTGTCTGGTAAATTGGGTAAAAAAATGTTATAATTAATATAGTAATGTTCAGTGTTGGTTCTGTTTGAAAGTTAAAACATTCAACTTTGAAACATGATTCTTCTTTTTGTTTTTGAATAGTCATAGCCTTTTGACCGAAAATTAAGGTAAGACTGAAATATAATGGCTTAACAAATTAAGAATGTTTTTCGAATATTGTAAAAATAAGTTGATTTTCCCTAACGTTTGGTTAAAGAGACTTCCTGTTTTCTATGACACACAAAAAAATTGTTTGACTGGAAAGAAGAAATACAAATAATAATATACATATGTATGTACCTTCTATATGTTTTTGGATTCTCGTAGAAAAGCAAACCTCAAACAGTTAGAAGATGTCCATATATTATGTAATCTTCGAAGAGGTCAGCAATATGATTACTTTATAGAAATCAGCAACACTATCATGGCGTAATATATGGGCAGCCATTTTCGTGTCGATATTTCTTCTAATACTTTCCAGCCTTTCCGAAACGTAAAACATGAATTCCTAACTATTGAGTTTTAAAAAGGTCTTTATAATATTATTATTAAGTTAATAGTTTGGAGTGTTTAAGTGAAGTAATCAATTTAATACTCACAAATATAAGCTTTAAATTCAATTGGCACATAAACAAATAAACATACATGTACATAGGTAAGACGATGTGTTAGTTGAAGATGTTGCTGCCGTCTAGATTATCTGAAGGGAAAGCGAAGAGGCGCACTCCAATTATGGGTTGATCTTGTTGTCCTGGCAACGACCAGGAAACATGGCTAGATCGATTTTGATGGTAATGCTGATTAAGAATATACTTTATAGGGTCGAAAATGTTTTCTTCACTGCGTTGCAAACTTTTGACTGAAATTTTAATACCATTATTATACATATTTACGCATACCTTGATCAGGGTAAAATCGCTTGTCAATCGGACGTCTATATCTAATAGCTTCCGTAGGAAAAATTGTTAAAAGCTGCGAAAATATCCCTTTTTTTCTATTTTTATATGACATTTTTGCAGTATAAAAGCTATTGACATGCAACTACGCAAATCTGATTTATTTATAACTTATTCTTTTCTCTACTTTTTCAATTTTAGCAATTTCGGCAAAGTCTGCAAGGGTATTAAAACTTCGGCTTGCCGAAATAAGCTTCAGTCCTCTTTTTTTTAACTTTACCACAAATCATTTAGATACTATTAGCTTATATAATAATATATTTAATATACATATAGTGAGCTTGTGTAATAGATTCATAAGTTTGTGGTTTAAAATTCTAAAATTCGTCTCGAAAATGGTGAGAAATACATACATGGAGCAGATCCGAAATTCATTGCCATTATGGTGTCGGACCATTTTTGTAAGACATCAAAATCATTGAACATGTCTTTCGCTTTCCTGAATGGTGGCCTGGTGGAACATTTCGACGATGTCTGCGAACCCAGCGATATGTCCGACTTTAAAAGACATTAGAAAATCAGTTAAAGTATGCAGATTATCGTGCAGATTGTCAATTTGTCCTTGTATTTGAGCAAACAGGTAATGTCCTTCGACTTTTGCTCGAAAACAGTTGAGGCGTTTTAATGTAAAACAAGAGAGAACGCTATAGTAGAGTGCCTCGACTATTACTCCGTTTCCTTTAATAGAAATCCTTATCGAGAATTAACGTTGACTCTGTTGAGCACCTTGGCCAGCTGTTCCAAAGTCATCCGTCAGATGGCGCCATGAAAGGCGGAAATGTAGGCGCTAGCCAAGCTTAAGCATTTAATGGGTTTTTGGGCGTTAGAGTGGGCGTGGCAAACTTTTATTAGGCCAATCGATAGGTATTGACGAAACAAATACGTATAAATTAAAATTTTCATAATAGCATCAAAACTGTGGCCACAGCTTGTGGCTTGTGGGCGTCAGAGGGGGCGTGGCACTATTTTGAAACAAACTTGCGCTGCGTAGGAACTCCTAAAATCTACATGCAAAATGCCAATCTTCTAGCTTTTATAGTTTCCGAGATCTCAGCGTTCATACGGACAGACAGACAGACGGACAGACGGACATGGCTAGATCGACTCGGCTAGTGATCCTGAACAAGAATATATATACTTTATAGGGTCGGAAACGCTTCCTTCTACCTGTTAAATACTTTTGCATGAATACAATATACCCTTTTACTCTACGAGTAACGGGTATAACTAATTCTTTATCTCGCCAGAGCAGATCAATTTCATAGTGTCCGTTGACTTTTTGCAAGTATCTTTGACAATGCTATAGTCTTGTCGTGGACTTCAGGAAAGAACTCTTGCAGAGTGATTGGATCTACGGTTAAGCTTTCCTTGAGACCTTTTCGATTTAGGTCGAGTTTCAATCACAATGAAGAAAGCCAAATGACCATTTTTCATAACGACCACTTTCGTTTAAAAAATTATGCCAATTCCACAATTGAGAAAATTTAATGTGAGCACGAGAAATCGACCTTAAAACAGATAACCCTTACTTTAGATTTATTTATTTTTAAGTCTGGTTTATGGTTTCCATTTTTTTTAGAAAACGTAGATAATAATTTCCATTTTTAATAAACGATTCCGGTTTTTTCTGGACAACATTTTCAAAATTGTACACCAATTTTTGTCTGGTTGATAGAAAAGCTAAAATTAAAAATTACTAATGAAAAACCATCAAAAAATTACAAATGATCCAACATGAAAATAAAAAAAAATTAACTAACTAAAACTAATTAACTAACTTTAATGCAAATAAAAATAATGCCTCTCACTTTAAAATCGGTATCTAATGAGCAATGTTGGAGTCCTTGAATAACGCAGGTCTTTGGAAACTTATTTTAAAACCTCTACGGTCCACCCCACCAAGTAAAAAGCTCTGTGAAAGCTCCCCACGCTAATCTCAAACAGCTGACTTTAGCAAAACATTTCGTATTTGTATTTGGTTTGGGTCCGTCACAATAGTGAGATACGACATACGGAAGGCAAGCGAACGGAGAAGGGCGCGAGATGCGGACGCCGTGCGTAACCACAGTACAAACTAGAATTCCAATAAGTTAGACTAACGCTGAGACCAGACCCCATTCCCGTTACCCCATCCCAATAAAACCTAAAAGTAAGTAACTATTCACTGAACAACGGCAACAAAACAACAACCACGAAGGCGGTGAATTAAATTACGGCCGACACGATCTGTCACGCTCTCGTTTACAAGCGACGTAATCTGTGTGCGTAGTGACTGGCGGAGAGCCAAACGTGCCGTTATTTTCCATTCATTAATCCGTGGGAGATTCCTCTCCCTATGTTACATAAAGTCCTTGCGCGAACACCTTCTCCCGTGCCACCACGATATCGACGGCATTGCGTGAGACCCAGGAGCGCATTCGGGGGGGATATTGGAGATATACATACATACATACATATGTATGTAGATAGATTCCCAACAAATTGTTTAATACTCCTAATATTTAGACAAAATCCTGATGTTAATTTCATTCAAGAAAGCCCAAAATGTAAGATATCCCCCCAAAACCTAAAACCGCCCCTGGTAAATATTGCAATGTGTTGGCACTCACATTTGTAGGCTGCACTCGTCGCACCAACAGGTGCTTTGCAGCCAAGACTGCAATTGTTTTCGCCCCGTCCCGCTCGCTCGTCTGAGGGTAAATATCCGTGCGAAGAAATGCTCCCCGAAGCTTAATAATTTTGCATCCCGCCGATGGCCATTTTCGAATTTAGATTCTGCTCTCATCGCACGGCTAGTTTCAGTGCAACGTTCAACGCAAGCGAGAAGCGACATCGAGATCCTCATAGTACCCAACCCCACATATCACAGCAAGTACCCTCCAACTTGACCATGGCCAGCTCCTGACCCCCGCCCCTTGCGGCCCGTGACCTTCGAATAGTTAGAAAGGCCCCTTCGTCGTCGTTGTTGTTGTCGTTGTTGGTTCGGGTTGGGCAATAGTTGAATTTCTGCTCCGTTCTCCCCTATGGCTAGCATTTAAGTGATGGTGCCCCAGGCTGTTAAGCTGTTTCAATCCTCGCTGAGCCAGTGGCGACGCGGAGGCAAACTGCATCCCATGGCCAAGGGCGCGATCACGTACGCGGTCATGTGGCCCACGGGCAGCCTGATTCAGCAGGCGCTGGAGGGACGCAAGCTGCGTAAGTATCCCCTTCGCACCGCATCCACAACCACCTCCTGCTCCGCACAAATAACCACTCCTCCGCAGGAGACTACGACTGGGCCAGGGCGCTCCGCTTCAGTCTGTTTGGAGCCCTCTACGTGGCGCCCACTCTGTACGGTTGGGTACGGCTCACCAGCGCTATGTGGCCGCAGACCAATCTCCGCACGGGCATCGTCAAGGCCATCACGGAGCAGCTGTCCTACGGACCTTTTGCCTGTGTCAGCTTTTTCATGGGCATGAGCTTGCTCGAGCTGAAGACCTTTAGCCAGGCTGTGAACGAGACGAAGGAAAAGGCGGCGCCCACATACAAGGTAACGCATATCCCGCTCCTCGCGTCTCCCCTCCGCCTACATCCATCTCATTACTAACTATCCAGGTCGGCGTGTGCATCTGGCCCTTTCTGCAAACAATAAACTTCTCGCTGGTGCCAGAACACAACCGCGTGGTTTTCGTAAGCATCTGCAGCCTGATGTGGACCATCTTCCTAGCCTACATGAAGACACGCAACGAGGAGCAATCGGATCCAGCGGGTCTTCCCTGTACATAGTTTCCCCAGTTGTCGTATTTGTTACCTGTTGTGCGTCCCTTAGGCCAATTGATTAATTAGATAGCGTTATCGTACTTGAACCGGTATTTTATTGGGGTCTGTTAGCCCCATACTTTAGCTGGTCAGGCCAGGTGGCGAGCGTACAACGATCAGCTGGCCCACCCAAAGCGGAGACGGCTTTAAGGAGCTGCCCACCGTCTCTACAATCCAGTCCACGTAGGCGGAAACCTCGGTAAAGACGCCTGGGAAAGGAGGCCGGGCACAAGGTTTGATGCTCCAGGAAACAATACCCACCTGGGTGTCGGTGCCAGTAAGCAGCAGCGGGCCCCCAGAGTCGCCACTGCACTGGCCCTTTCCGCCCTCAGACAATCCCGCGCAGATTTGGGTGTCGTGCAGTTGGGTTTGATGGCGCTCGCTGCACTCCTCATCGCTGAAAACTTGCAGTTGGACTTTCTGCAGATCTCGTTGAACCACTCCACCCGTCTGAAAGTGAAAGAGGGGGTTACTCATTGCTTCTTCGAGGAATCGCCAACTTTCTTACCGCATTTAACCCCCAGCCCGCAAGGACAGCACTGGCGTTTCCGGGCGTCAATTGGCGTGGCTCCGGTAAACGCACCGGCTGGACACTCTTGCTCAGAGTGACGGATTGCGCCAGCTGCAACAAGGCGATGTCGTTGACGTACTTGTCCTGCGGCTCGTAACCCGGATGGACTACGATGGCTGCCACACGGACCAGCTGGCTGGAGTTGCGTGCCAGGCTCTGGCTGCCGTACTGCAGGTCAATCTGCTCGGGGGAGGAGCTACGCACGCAGTGAGCGGCTGTCAGGATCCAGTCCGAGTTGAGCAGCGTAGCGCCGCAGGAGTGATGACCACTTTTCGACCGTCGCAGCGAGACCACAAAGGGGAACTCCCCCGGGCCGGCGGTGGTGCCGTTGACGATCTTGCCATTTTCCCCGGAGGCTCCTGCAAAAATGAGGCAGATGGTTAGGAAAAGCAGCTCTAGCCTTTCGCGCGGAGCCATGTCTGTCTTCTTTGTGTGCGTGCCGCAAGAAGAGCAGGGCATTTTATAGGGAACTAGGGGCCCGTATTCACATTCGCGAGTTATTCGTTGTGGGTCGAGCTGGCCATGCAATTGCGGGCGGGACATATTAGCAATGCTAATGATATTCCAACCCCACGATTGTGACTCCGCAGGGTCGAGATTGCCATGCCAGGCCCACTGCTGTGGAAGAACCTCAAGGTACTCGTCACCCGATACCCGATAATGCGCGGCATGATATCTTACAGCCTGATCTGGCCCACTGGCAGCCTCATCCAGCAGACAGTGGAGGGCAGGCGCTGGGGTGAGTCGGCAAACTGTCTGGCAGCTGGACCCCATTTCATCCTCCGATCTTGCAGGCACCTACGACTGGTGGCGCGTGCTCCGGTTCAGCATGTACGGCGGTCTGTTCGTGGCTCCCACGCTCTACGGCTGGGTCAAGGTTGGTAACAATTTAAATATCAACGTTGATCCATTTCCGGTTTTCCGCAGATCTCCAGCGCCATGTGGCCGCAGACGTCGTTGAGGACGGGCGTCATCAAGGCGGCGGTTGAGACCATTTCTTACACCCCCGGTGCAATGACCTGCTTCTACTTCATCATGAGTCTGCTGGAGTCCAAGACGGTGGAGGAGGCGGTGGCCGAGGTCGGCAAAAAGTTCCTTCCCACCTATAGGGTATGTTTGTATGGAGTCCGGTGGAAAGCGGTTGTGAGAAGCATAAATGTATATATTCAAACCCCTGAACTTCTCCCAAAAGGTGGCACTGTCCGTATGGCCATTGGTGGCCACCATCAACTTCACCCTGATCCCCGAGCGCAATCGAGTGCCCTTCATAAGCGCCTGCAGCCTGTGCTGGACCTGCTTCCTGGCCTACATGAAGCATCTGGAGCACCACGAGGTGGATGGCGCCATTTAGAAGTCGTATAGTTTAAAAGTAGAATAGTCAATAAAATAAAATAATGTAATTTGAAACTCTACAATAACTGTGGTAATTCTCCCAAGGTCGCAAACGGCCACACTGGTGTCATCGATAGTTTAGTACGTATTGTCCGTTAAAAATTAAGATTACAAAACTTTTTAAGGTTTAGGATTGATTGCCTTTTTCCGCTGTTAGTTTAACAATAAAATTAAAAATTTTAAATTCAGAATCGATTGTCCCCTCGTGGTGAATATATGTCTTTTGGATTGGTGTGATTTAAATTATTTAAAAGTGTGGTATAAAAATTTTAAAAATTTAATCTTATTCTTATTTTTTTTGGAGGGCTGTAAAAAGGAAAAGGCCTCAATACGAGGAGAAATTCCTGGCCTCGGATGCAGGAGCTTGTAAATCCAAAAAACCTAAATTTGAAAGGACAAGAAATGGCGGAAATGACGAAGAGATGGTAGAAGAACCAATGGAAGTTATGCCAATAACCCCTAATCCAACGGTATCTGGAATTCAGATGGAAAACAAGCAAGTAGAGCATGCAATGAAATTGGAATATGACGGTGATCATAAGGGACCGTTTATGGTATATGTGGACAAAAAGAGAACAAGTGGAGAACATAGTCGAGTGCCGATTAACCCATTGGAGCTAAGCGGTCTTTTAGTCAAAAATAAAATTATTCGTATTATCGCAGTGCAAAAGATAGGTTTTGGGAGTTGTAAAATTGATCTTGACAAATACGGATATGAACCGAAAATTTTTAAGCACTTTATTTATAAAAGTTGAATTATATATCAAATTCCAACCTCTTTTACACCTGATATTATTAAGGAGTCGAATACTTCTTCAGTGCCTATTGAAGAGGTGATTATAATTAACACCAGAGATAAAAATAATAAAGAGATTTTAGTACCTACCAGCAAAGTTAAATTATTATTTAGAGGCAATTAAATTCCCTCTGAAATAACTCTCCTATATACTAAAGTTCCTGTTTCGCATTTTGTTCCTTTTAATCAATGTTATAGATGTTTTAGATTTAACCACTTTGCACAACATTGCAAACAAAACGAGCAAAAATGTTATAAGTGTTCCTTAGTGCATCCCTCCACTTTTATTTGTAGTGATATTGTCTGTGTTAATTGTAAGGGAAACCATGTTTCGACTTCGCGTTCTTGTCCAGCAAGACAGTGTGAATTTGCAATTCAAAAATGTATGACAGCAGAAAATTTATCTAGAATGGAAGTTAAAGCTACGTATCCATCTCTTTTTGGTAGATTCGAAACAGTTGATTCATTTGATCATACTGCATTTCCTCAGCCTTTTTGGCAAAAAGTAAGTAATGAGAGCTCGTCAATGCAAAACAACACAAAATCAACAGCAGAAACAATGCACTCTTATAAACCTTTTAACAAAATAGTTAGAAACATGAAAAACCACAAAGCTGAAAATGTAAACGCACAGAATACTATGGCAGCCTGGAAAAGTGCTCTGAAAGAAAACGAATATATTTCATCTGAACGTTTTACACCAATTGAAAATAATAGACCGTCACAGATCGAGTCTGCTCTCGAAATTGCTGAGTGTGGTCTAAATAATTTACATGCAGAAATTTCCAAATTTTTATCAAACTTAAACAACGAAGTTAACAATGTTAATTCAAGAAAATTCCTTGACGAATTAAATACTAAAATTGCGCAAACAAATTGCAGAATTGATTTAATTAAAATTACTAATTCATTTAAATTTTTATATTTTTTATTAAAGCCTTTTTTTTCCCTTGATTCTTGAACTTTTATTTCTTGAATATGAAAATTCTACAATATAATATAAAAAGTCTTACTTCTAAAAATAATAAACAATTGCTGGAAATTTTTCTGGTGAATAATGATATTGATATTGCAATTTTATCTGAAATTTGGATCAAAGATAATTCAATGTGTAGCCTTTTAAATTATAATTTCGTCTGTAGAGAACGAGAAGACGGGTATGGACGTTTTGAAATAATACATTTTAGCACTTATATTGAATTAATTGGTATTAGAACTTTAAGTCTAAGTCCTAACATAAATGTTTTCAGTGTATATTCTGCTCCCAATGTGGACCTTAATACGTTTGAGCTTAGCTTTAATAATATTCTAACTTTTGTTTCATCATTAAACGGTGCTTCTTTGATAGGAGGTGATCTTAATGCTAAATCAATAGTTTGGGGTAATGAATCTAATAATTTTAAAGCAATCTTTTTAGAAAGGTCGTTAGTAAACTCGGAATTTTCCTGTATTAATAATGGCTCGTCAACTTTTTCAATAAATCCCAACTATACATCCGCTATTGATGTATCTTTAGTAAATAGAATCAACTACAATTTTAATTGGTCCGCAATCAACACAAAAATAACTAATAGTTATCATTTCCCAGTAATAATTGAAATTTTTAATAATAACTCCGTTACTGAGCATAAAATTTTGCATGAGAAGTTATTTTCGGATTTCTCGAAAATTCATATCTCAACTCTTGACAACCTGTATAGTACAACTAAGAACATTGTTTCTAAAAACACCTTTCATATTTCGCAAAACAATAAATACACTCCTAAGAAATATTGGGATGAATCCTGTGATAGATTCTTTAGATTAAGAAACGCTAGTCCCCAAAAGTATTATAAAACAAAATTATTCTCTGACGCAATTGAGTACAACAAAGCCAACAAAACATTAAACAATTATCTTTTTAAAGTAAAAAAATTGAATATGAACGCTCTATCTGACGATTTGTCTAATCCAACATCACCAAAAGATATGTGGCAAAAGATAAAAAACCTTAAAATGTATAAACAAATTAAGCCGGTTCAAAGCTCTTGGAACGAAGCAAGACATAAGGAATTTTTGCATAAGGAATTTTTGCATCAAACAGCAAACCACGATTCCAACGAGTTGGGATCTTCCTAATTTTAGTCTTAACTTTAATTTAGTTGATTTTATAACTTTTCTTAAAACTAGAAACCCAAATTCAGCTAAAGGATTGGACAACATTTCTTACAAAACAAGAAAGGAAAGCTAACTTCGGGCGGAACCGAAGTTAATATACCCTTGTAGAATACTCTATAATTATATTCTCCAAAATTATTCCTATGATGCATTCTTAATACTCATAAAAAATCCAAACTTCCTAACTTTAAAAACACCAAAGTTATGGCATTTCCAATCGTTCAGTTATATGGCAGCTATTGGATATAGTCGGCCGATCCTTATGAAATTTAGTAGGTCGGATTGATTGTCCAAATATAAAACCCACAGAAAATCCCAACTTTCTAACTTTACAAACACCAAAGTTATGGCATTTCCGATCAATCAGTTATATGGCAGCTATAGGATATAGTCGGCCGATCCCGGCCGTTCCGACTTATATACTGCGTGCAAAGGAAAGAAGGGTGTGTGCAAAGTTTCAATTCGCTAGCTTTAAAACTGAGAGACTAGTTTGCGTAGAAACAGACAGACGGACAGACAGACGGACAGACGGACAGACAGACGGACAGACGGACATGGCTATATCAACTCAGGAGGTGATCCTGATCAAGAATATATATACTTTATAGGGTCGGAGATGCCTCCTTCACTGCGTTGCACACTTTTGACCAAAATTATAATACCCTCTGCAAGGGTATAATGATTCTGAGCTTTCCTAATAATCAATTGGAAAATTTATTATCCCTGATAGTTGGCGCAAAATAAAAGTGGTTCCAGTACCGAAAAAAAATGTATACGCCTCTATTGTGTCAAACAATAGACCGATTTGCCTTCTTAGTATTTTATTTAAGTGCTTAGAAGGTATGATTAAAGTGCGGTTTGAATCTTTTATTAATTTTAATAACCTGTTACCTGATAGAACCTACGCTTTTAAAAGAAATCATTCGAATTCCCAATGTATAAATGACGTAATAAATAATATAGCAAATCTTAAAGCAAAAGGAATGCAAGTTATAGCCGCTGTATTGTATATATAGGGTTCATAATAAAATTGATAGAAAAAAGAGTTTTAGTAAGTAATAACCAAGAAATAGATGTAAGCAAAGGTGTATGTCAATGTAGTTGTCTGAGTCCCATTCTTTTTAATATTTATACTATAGTTTTTCATTCCATCAATGACGAAAACTGTATACTCTTTCAATATGCAGATAATTTATTTTTAGTGTGTTATGATAGACAGTTTACAAAAGCTAGAGATATTTTAGAACTTAAGATAAATGCTTTCAATAACTTGTGCAATATCAACAATCTTACTTTTAATTCCAATAAATCATCAATCATACATTTCAATAAAAGAAGACAGTCTGCAAACATAGTCTGTGATGATATAGCAATATCAGAAGTAGAACAAGAAAGGAAAGCTAACTTCGGGCGGAGCCGAAGTTGATATACCCTTGCAGAATATTCTATAAATTATATTCTCCAAAATTATTCATATGATATATATTATGATGCATTCTTAATACTCATAAAAAGTCGCAACTTCCTAACATTAAAAACACCAAAGTTATGACATTTCTAATCGTTCAGTTATATGGCAGCTATAAGATATAGCCGGCCGATCCTAATGAAATTTGGTAGGTCGGATTGATTGGCCAAAAATAAAACCCATAGAAAATCCCAACTTCCTAACTTCACAAACACCAAAGCCATGGCATTTCCGATCAATCAGTTATATGGCGGCTATATGATATAGTCGTCCGTTCCTTATGAAATTCGGTAGGTCGGATTGATTAGCCAAAAATAAAACCCATAGAAAATCTCAACTTCCTAACTTTAAAAACACCAAAGTAATGGCTTTTCCGATCGTTCAGTTATATGGCAGCTATATGATATAGTCGCCCGATCCGGCTCGTTCCGACTTATATACTACCTGCAATAGAAAGACAACTTTTGGGAAAGTTTCAAGCAGATAGCTTTAAAACTGAGGGACTAGTTTGCGTAGAAACGGACGGACGGACGGACAGACGGACAGACGGACAGACGGACAGACGGACATGGCTAGATCGACTCTCCTGGTGATGCTGATCAAGAATATATATACTTTATAGGGTCGGAGATGTCTCCTTCACTGCGTTGCAAACTTTTGACTGAAATTATAATACCCTCTGCAAGGGTATAAAAAGCCAACTATTTAGGTCAGATTATTTCTAAAGCCAATAAAACTAATATGTTTCTGCAAATGCTCAGTGGTTGTCATTTTGGTGTTTACCCAAATAAATCGCTTTTATTTTATAAAGCCTTTGTACGCTCTAAATTTAAGTATTCATGTTCATCATTTGCTAATACTTCTACTATTGTTTCTAAAGAGATAAAAGTGCATATACATTTTTATTTGCGACGTGCTCTTGGTTTAATAAAATCAACTCCTATAAATATAATTTATAATTTAGCGTCTGAACTCCCCCGGAGTTCAGACAAAAATTTATAACTGCTAAAGAGTTAGCCAAAACTTTTGCATACGGTTTACCTGTAGCATCTCTTTTGTCTAACTCTTTTATTGCTAAAAACACAATATATTCCGAATTTAAATACATCTTTGACGCCATCATGCCTTTGGACAATGTTTTAATTTCAACGCTCAAGATTACAACTCACACAGACTTTTTTAAAGGCTCTTGTTTAAATAAAAAATCAGCAAATGCTACCCTAATAAATACCCTTATCCAGGAAAAAATAAATTATCTATTATCCAAAAATGTTGAATTATTTTATACTGATGGCTCTGTAAATAAAAATTTTACAGGTTGCGCTTTTGTTCATAAAAGCTCAGAAACCATTAAAAGCTTTTTTACAAACAAAAAATTATCATCACTCACAGCTGAATTAATCGCCATAGATAAAGCCATCGATTTTGCCATAGATAACCAATACTTTTAAATTGCTATTTTAACTGATAGTTGTATCGTTGAAAAAATCTCATCCAGATAACTACATCGCTAAGAAAATCATAAAACAAATCGAAAACTCTAGATTTTTATTTTCAATAGAAAGGCATTTGATTCCAAGCCACGTTAATATAGAAGATAACGAATTAGCTGACATTGCCGCTAAAAATGACAAGGACAATGGTGTTTTCTTCTGTGATTGCTGGCCTTTGAAGGACGCTATTACTTATATATACAATCAAATTCACATGGATTGGGAAAATGAATATAATTTATACTGCAGCGCCTTTTTCCATATGTTACTTCAAAGCCTTGGTTTAAGGATAAAAAATGTAACCTTAATCGGTTAGAAATTAAGCAAATCAACCGTCTATTGAGCGGTCATGGCTTTGACAAATGCTCACTAGCTAAAATGAAAGTCACTAACAATAATCTATGCGACACATGCAACGTACCAGAAGATGCATCTCACCTCATTTTTAATTGTCCCGCCTTTTCAAATACACGCACTCATTTTCCAACACTAAGGAATCACAATGATATTTATCGTTTTTTTTGATAAAGAACTCATCGAATCTTACAAGCAAATCACAAATTTCATACGCACTGCTAATATTAAATAAAGTAATGAAATCACCTGAAATTACAATTAATTAACTCTTACTCATTAAACATCATCACTAAAATTCATCAACATGTTTAATACAAACAATCATTCGTTATTCATCGCCTACAATTGTTTTCACCACACACATAGGAGATGGCGTTAACCCGTTTTTAGACGAGGAGGCCAAATAATTCTCTCAGCTGCTCGAGGTTGAGAGTAACTTAATACCAAAAAAAAAAAAAAAATTAAAAATTTTTAAAAACAGAGCCAAACATTTCACTTTATCGATAGTGTCTATTTATTTTTGGGTTGCCAATTGGCGTGAAATTAATCTTAGTGAGCTCTTATTTCACTGTCAATAAAAGCAGCAAACCATTTCAAAATAAAAACATAAAAAGTGATTGTTGATTGAACATGCAGTTTTTCTGTACTCTGTTTTTTAATAAACTTTTTTATACAAACATTTTTGCCAAACAGTTTTGCTAGTTTTTAATACCATACTGAGGCAAGGAATCACATTATCTTACCAAAAACAAGAGCGCTACGAATACAAGCACCTACTGAGGTATATCCAAGTTGTCCGCTCTCCCAAAGTTTTTCGAAAATGTTATTATTTAAAAACGTTATCAGAAATAACAGTCAGACGGACTAAGTTTATACTGATTCAAGTAGTGCGATTGATTCTGTAAATCATTATTAAATTAGACTTATTATGGTGTTCTAACATGGATTTTAAGTTATCTGAGTGGTAGGGCTAAACAAGTCCCCTTTAAAGGCTCTATCTCTAATTTAATCCAAGTTACTTAGGCGACCCTAAATAAGCCACCGTGGCACACTACATTATTTATCAACAATCTCAGTCTTGACGAAGTCGTATGTACCCAGATGAGGAAACAGTCAAATTTTTCTCAGTTCAGTCTTACAATCGGATTTAAAAGAAAATCTTTTTAATTTTAATAACGCTAACTGAAAAGTAATGACATTTTTTTAGGGTCAATCCACAATATGCCACGTATCCACTGGGTGGTTGTGCGTTGACTAGAATCCTGCAAGCTGGATGGCGTCCTTCTGGATCCAAAACAAAAGTCTGACTATATATATATTGGTGGATTCAATGATATCTCTACTGAATGCTATCACTAAAGCCAAGGGGTATTATACAAAATACTACAAATATTTTTAGGATTTTTATTATATTATTTTTTTTTTTATAGATTTTAGAACACGCCACACAAGGATGGAACTTGTTTTCGTGTATTGACCAATTATTTCTAAAGATCTCAAAAAAGCGGGTAGCAGGTGCTCCATATTTGGGCAAATCAGGTTTGGTCATAGCCGGTCAAAAGTTAATCAGGATGTTGTTACAGAAGACGGCCGTGTCTGTCACGGCCGAGAATCCATAAATCTGGCGGGTGTCGTCTGCGGAGACGCCGTCGACCCAGTGGTGTTGCAAGATGTCTTGCCAGGCAGTTTGCATGTGTGAGCAGACGTTCCCGGTATTGACTTGAGGATTGACTAATCGTCTCCGTTACTGTCGGCACTCCCGTGTCCTGGAATATACATAAATCGGTTTTCTACATAATGGTGCCACTTCACCCCCAGCATCCTCCTGAGAGCCTTTGTAATGCACGTTTGCACTCTTTTTAGTGACGAATCACAGGCCGTGCCCCAGCAAGTGACTCCCCAGTTTAAAGTTGGAAAGACAAAGGCCTTAAAAAGCCGCACCTTGGCTTCAAGGGATAGGCCGCTACCTGGACGAAGGAGCCAGTCCATTTTGTCAAGTTTTGTTCTTGCTGATCCACAAACTCGATCAATTTGTCCCTTCCAACAGAGGTGACGGTCTAAGGTAACTCCGAGGTACGTCACCTTACCTTCCTGCTTGAGCCTATTCCCATCGATGTAAAGACTACGCGAACGGCCAGGGCGGAGAGCAAATGTGGCATGCTGCGTTTTGTCAACATTAAGCGCAATGTCCCATCGAGAGGCCCAGCACTCAAATTCGTCTAAGAATGTCTGGACACGTCGGGAGGCAGACGTAGTGGTGCTACCAGCAGCAAGAAATGCAGTGTCATCTGCATATGTGGCCAGGAGTGTACCACGAGCAACTGGGCTTGGAAGACTTGTTCGTATGAAACAAACTACACTAAACTATATGTATTATTATATTTTAAGCCGTTCAAAATTGTAAGATTATTTTTACATTTTGAAATGGACTCTGCATAAAATAAGCGTGGCTGGCCGAGGTTCCTTTCTATTTTAAATTGATGTTTTTTTTATATTTGGCATAACGTAAAATAAATTTCCAAGCGATTTTATTTTGTATGGCTAAATTTTTAATCTACCACTCTCGTACTATGCAACAATCTTGGAGATAATAAATTAGTAATATTTCTCGCCCACTCAGCGGCGATTAAATATTATGTTAACTAGCACGCGATGATCGCCGGGAAAAGGGGAATGCGTGCCACATGCAAAGTGAGGAAGCTACCACAGCGGACGGATATTACTAGTAATGATTACATGGGTGCGGTTCGCCTCACAAGATTGCGAGCTGTCCACAGGGTGCTGCTACTTTCACTTGGTCATGGTCATGGCCACGATGTGTTGGCTTTGGGCTAGGATGGCTCTAATCACTGAGTAATTATCACATTTTACAGACGCAGCCTGGTTCCCGCAAACATGAGGAAGTCTGGCCTTGGCTTATTGTTTGTAATTTGTCATGGAATTTGAATTCGAAAACGAAAACAGAGAAGCAGAAAAAAAACCAACTGACTGATTTCAGGCGTTTGCCAGCACAATTTGTTGCCGACGTCATCACGGTATATTGTAACAAGGGAAGGGGTAGCGAAATGAACATAAGGGCCAATGAGAACCCAAATAAATTTTCCAGCGCATGCAAATAAGTTCAACGGAAACCGCAGACCTTGCAACTGTACAAATAGGCGGACAGCCGTCTACGAATAAGTTCGTATCTTGCAGATGCAACTACTCGAAGATACTCGATGGAACAGTAAATGGCCGAGTTCAGTAGAACTACACGATAGTTCAGCAATCAGTGATTGAACGCTCATTATGCATTACGGCGTTTTAATTGTAATCGGCCAAGAAACTTTCAATTTTGTGGTAATTTCAAATGGCTTTTCTATGTATTTTCCCTGCACCAACAAATTAACAGCATTTAGCAAAACATTTGAAAAAACCAAATATTTTATGAATTTCAACAACAATAAAAATAACTACAGCCTTCTATAATTTAAGTGTTTTATTTTGTTTGCATTTGCTTCCTCTCTTCGTGTTAATTTTGTATACCCTTGCAGTGGGTATAATAGTTTCATTCAAAAGTTTGCAAAACACTGAAGACCATATTTTAGATCCTATAAAAAATATAAACGCTTGATCATCATCATCATTAGTCTATACATGTCCGTTCTTAAAAATTAGTCCGTCAGATTTAAATCTAAAAATCTTTCATGGAACTTCGCAAAAAGTCTTCTTTCTGTTGCATACGTCAGGGCCGAATCGGCCTACTATATCATATAACTCCCTTAGGAACAATCGGGAAAAAAGAGAAATAAAATTAGAACTTCGTACTTTTTTTATATATATGTAAACCTCAACGATTTCAGAATTACGCTTTTACTTTTATATATATGGGGCTGCAATATGAACGATCGATAAAATTATCGAAAGTCGACTTAGCTTCCTTGTTATAAGCATCGAAATCAAGGTGCAAAAGTATATATATAAAAATGTAAAACTGATATTAGAAAACGGTTATTTTTTGAAAACTCCTCAAATGAGAGAAAAGAGCATGGTGCCGTCTAAAAGTACCTTAAATAAGAGCGAAAAGTCATAATCAAATCAAGTATAGTTTGTCATCAATTTTTTTATTTACGCCCCCTATACGCTTTGGGCGAATTGGAATACGAGCCTTGACGAATTCCCTGGTCTCCCAATCTAGATCATGTTAAAGTGCCAGTGAACACCTTGAAACGCGATTTTCGGTTGTTAATGTTATGGATGAAATCTCCCAATAAACTAGTAAGAATTTCTATATTCAAGAAACTTTTTATCTAATTGATCGAGCAACCTTACACAATGCAAAACTAGAGAAATCATAAAAAGATTTTTATTTACAGATTGTTTAACCATCAGCAATTATTTAACTACAAGACATTCCCGGATGCCAAAGCCAAGCGATAGTTGTACTCCTCGAAAAGTTCCGGGGCCACTCGGTACGGCTGATCTATAACGGATAGGCGGATGGGCGTTTGGCACGAGGGCGTGGAATAGTTGGGCGTGGGCGGGGCAGATGGTGGGGCGTGTTGCGGGCAGCTTGGCGGAAGCGACTCGTAAACAGGAGCCGGCTGAGGTGTCTGGGTGATATACCCTTCATCGACATCCACCTTGGTGCTCGATTTTGATGCCAATGGAGTAGACAAGTAGATGATGGGTTGGTAAACGATTTGTGCCGGCTGGAGCCCAACGTAATTCGGCTGTGCTGCTTGGCCATATTCTTTCGTCTTGCCATACACCTCGGAGGTGCTCTCAGGTTGGGTGTAGCTGGGTGCAGGCGGATCATAGCTGGGAGCTAGTGGAGCAGGAGAATTGTAACCAGCTGCAGATGCGTCATAATAAGGAGCAGGTGCTGCCGGAGTTTCGTAAGAAGGAGCAGGTGGCGCAGGAGGTTCGTAAGAAGGAGAAGGAGCTCCTGGAGCTTCGTAGGAAGGAGCAGGTGCTGCCGGAGCTTGGTAAGAAGGAGCAGGTGGTGCAGGAGCTTCGTAAGAGGAAGCTGGCGGTGCCACATAGCCCGCATCGCCATCTCCGGGACCAATGTTCTGTGGTGCCACGTAGTTTGTCTGTGGCTGCGGCAACTGCCCACAGTTGCCGGTACACTGGCCACAGGGATTGGGGGTGGTGAAGAGGTTTGGCAGTTTCTTGAAGAGCTTCATCTGCTTAAAGGGATCCAGATCCTGAAGCTGTTGGCCATAACAGTTATTGGCCACAGCGGGTGCGGGGACAATTGGAGCCGGTGGGTTCAGCAGGTTGTTATTGCAGCAGTTATTGTTGCTGGGGAACAGATCATCCCACCACTTGAGTAGCGAACGGTTCGTGCGTTTCAGAGGCTCGTTTGGGGTCACCAAAGGACCCCCATCCACCATCAGATAATAGAGAGGCTCACCCGGTGCCGCAATTCGATTCGACACGCTCACCTTCTGGGCGGAAGTGGACAAAGCGAAAGCCATTGCCAGCAGGCTCAGAGGCAATGATCCTCTTCTGGAGTTCAGCATTTTGCGACTATTTAACCTCGCGCGGCGAACTCTTAGATTCAACTACCAACTCCAATAGCTGCCACTCAGTGCTCGAGCTGCCCGAAATACGGCGGATTATTGCAAGGTCAGCATGTGGTCATAACTTCGACGGGGTATAGTAGTTAATCCAATAACTATGACTGCTCTGATTAAAAAACTAATTTTCATCATGTTTTTCATTTAATTTACGTTATATTTGTAAAGACAATTATAAATAGGTTTATTGTTAAATAAGAATTGCCACTCAACTTGCTTATTTTAAATTTACCAAACCATTAAAACGGGTATTCTTTCGAACAAAGGGTGTTAATTGTTCCTTTATGCCAACAAGTTGTTAATGGATGACTGGTATGAGGAAATTAAAGCTGCAACTTGAGCTTTGCAAAACCAATGTCTAACCCAATTTATAGAAGACCTAATTTACAGGTGTCCCATTTAATCACAGGTTCAAGAGTCCCAATGAGGCCAATGACTTTACATTACTTGTGTTTTATATATTATTGTGCTGCTTTCTTTATTGTTTATTCAAATTGTTCTCTTACGTGCTCGAAATCAGCAAACGGAAGCCAAACATAACTTAAGGTTCCTGCTTTGTCCGTGGAGCGTGACTCAATTGGCTTTAAGGCCGGTATAGGCCTGGCCACTCAAAAGGAAAATACACTTGTGCAAACGGAAGTATATAAAAAAAAAAAAAGTAAACATGTTCACACAAGATATTTAACTACATACCTGTATAAAATACTTCCTAAAGTGACCGTTGGCATATTCATCACTTATTCATAGCATTTAACAAATTAAATAATATACAAGAAAGGAAAGCTAACTTCGGGCGGAGCCGAAGTTGATATACCCTTGCAGAATACTCTGTAAATTATATTCTCCAAAATTATTCATATGATGCATTCTTAATACTCATAAAAAATCCGAACTTCCTAACTTTAACAACAACAAAGTTATGGCATTTCCAATCGTTCAGTTATATGGCAGCTATAGGATATAGTCGGCCGATCCTTATGAAATTTGGTAGGTCGGATTGATTGGCCAAAAATAAAATCCATAGAAAATCCCAACTTCCTAACTTTACAAACACCAAAGTTATGGCATTTCCGATCAATCAGTTATATGGCAGCTATAGGATATAGTCGGCCGATCCTTATGAAATTTGGTAGGTCGGATTGATTGGCCAAAAATAAAATCCATAGAAAATCCCAATTTTCTAACTTTACAAACACCAAAGTTATGGCATTTCCGATCAATCAGTTATATGGCAGCTATAGGATATAGTCGGCCGATCCTTATGAAATTTGGTAGGTCGGATTGATTGGCCAAAAATAAAATCCATAGAAAATCCCAACTTCCTAACTTTACAAACACCAAAGTTATGGCATTTCCGATCAATCAGTTATATGGCAGCTATAGGATATAGTCGGCCGATCCCGGCCGTTCCGACTTATATACTGCGTGCAAAGGAAAGAAGGGTGTGTGCAAAGTTTCAATCCGATAGCTTTAAAACTGAGAGACTAGTTTGCGTAGAAACAGACAGACGGACAGACGGACAGACGGACAGACGGACATGGCTATATCAACTCAGGAGGTGATCCTGATCAAGAATATATATACTTTATAGGGTCGGAGATGTCTCCTTCACTGCGTTGCACACTTTTGACCAAAATTATAATACCCTCTGCAAGGGTATAATAAGTGAATTTTGTATTAAGAGATGTAGCAACAACACAAAATTAACATTGTTAAAATCGAAATTGAATTGAATGAACTAAAATCTAATTTATTTAAACATTTTTTTATTTACCAAAAACACAAGGAAGGTGATTGTTTGGCCTGTCATCACTTTTTATCAAACTTTGCAATATAAAAGCTTGTAACTTCGACAGTGCGTACCAAATTAAAAAAAAACGTAACTCTTCTTTGGACGAAAGGGTATTATTTCTAAAATTTTATACTTTCTGTTATTGCATTATAAATTATTATGAGCTTGTTGGTTTTTTCAAAATTTATAAATATTATAAATAAGAAAAGTCCTTTTTTCAATACCAAAAATTATTTTCTTATAATTAATTAGCAACATTTTTTAAGTTATGGCCGGTTGACAAATCGGTTTGTAAGTTGGTCTACATCCTTGTGGCAATCTAGTACCAAAGTTACAGCGACATTTCTTTCGACAATAGTGAATTGGGGGCGGTGGACGAGGGCGCGGTCAGATAGTTTTACAAATTGGTATCGCATTTATGGTGATCTAGTGTACCAAAATTGGTCTTTAGAGCCATAATGCAGTTGTTGTAATTTATATCAAATTAGCAATCCCATATTCTTATGTGGTTACCGAAGTTATTAAATAGAGGCCGTCCAAATTTGAAGTCATTTTTCCGATTTTAGTAAATTTAATTTTAGTATCAAGCATTACGAAAGCATGATGTATAATCAAAGTCAATTGGTCTACAGGAAAAAAGAGATGCTATTGTCGTTAAACATTGATCAAAAGATATTGTTACGCTCTATGGTCTCTATTCAAAATAAAATCAATCATAATTAAAATAAAAGAGAGCGATAAGAGCTTCGTTACTAAAATATTTTAAAAACAAGAAAGGAAGCAAACTTTATATACCCTTGCAGTTATTACAAAACGACTACATTTCGATTTATATTCCTATATGTTATTACTAAAAACAATGAAGCTATGTCGATTTTGCGCTGCAGTTGGCCATCGTTTCTATGGCAACTATTGTTGTCCCATTTTAATTTATTTAAAGCCGTAATTCCATAATAAATATTACCAAATCCCAAAGAACAACACAAAAAAATTAAAAAGAACAAAGTTATAATTTTTATACCCTTGCAGAGGGTATTATAATTTTGGTCAAAAGTGTGCAACGCAGTGAAGAAGACATCTCCGACCCTATGAAGTATATATATTCTTGATCAGGATCGCCACCTGAGTTGATATAAGCATGTCCGTCTGTTCGTCTGTCTGTCCGTATGGGTTTTATTTCTGGCCAATGAATTCGACCTGCCAAATTTCATAAGAATCGGCTGACTATATCCTACAGCTGCCATATAACTGAACGATTGAAAATGCCATAACTTTGGTGTTTTTAAAGTTAGGAAGTTGGGATTTTTTATGAGTATTAAGAATGCATCATATGAATAGTTTTGGAGAATATAATTTACAGAATATTCTGCAAGGGTATATCAACTTCGGCTCCGCCCGAAGTTAGCTTTTCTTTCTTGTTTTGAATTTTTTTTTTCCGATTGTTCTTATAGGAGCTATATGATATAGTCGCCCGATCCGGCTCGTTCCGACTTATTTACTACCTGCAATAGAAAGACAAGTTTTGGGAAAGTTTCAAGCAGATAGCTTTAAAACTGAGGGACTAGTTTGTGAAGAAACGGACGGATGGACAGGCGGACAGACGGACATGGCTAGATCGACTCTCCTGGTGATGCTGATCAAGAATATACTTTATAGGGTCGGAAATGTCTCCTTCCCTGCTTTGCAAACTTTTGACTGAAATTATATTACCCTATGCCAAGGTTTAAAAATTATATATAATGTAAAAAGTAATAATCTTATATCCGCTTACGCATCAACAATTTTGACATTATAAATATTGATGTTGTGAAATTTAAACATTTTATTGAACTTTATTTAAGGGATCCGTTGACAGAGAAAGGTGTTATAACTGCTGCAGGTATCTGTGCTTCTGAGCGATTCGCCCACTGGAGCGCGTATTGTGCCGCTTGCGTTTGTCGGGCTTAAGTAGTTCCGCCGCCTTGCTTACGAGTTCCTGAATACCGGCGCCGTCATCGGAAACATCGGCGTCCGAGGCTGGGAGGGGTGTGGTCTCCGCCTGGTCATCATCCCTGTCCATATCTTCGGCCGAGTCTTCGTCCTCGACGCGCTCATGCGCTATCCTAACTATGGAATCGGACTGTTCTGAAGTGGCTGGTTCCGTAGTGCTACTGGAGAAGTTCAGCTTCCCTGATCTTTCGGATTGAGCTTCAGGATATGGTGCAGCTTCTGTGGTAGAGGTGTTCTCATCGCCCTGGTTGAAATTGAATACCCGCTGAAAGAAGTTGCCATTGGGCGCAGCAACATTGTGAGCCGGTGCTCCCAGCATTCGGTTGAAAGGATTGAAAGGGTTGAGCGCTCCAAAAGGGCCGAAGGGGTTCAGACCCATGCCGAACTGCATTCCCATGCCAAAGGGGCCACCCACCTGGTGTTCCATGTCGAATCCCTGACCTCCCATCTGAGGATTCATGCCAAAGGGGTTGCCGAACTGGCCAGCCATACCGAATCCACCTCCCAAGGGACTTCCCACTGGTGCAGGGGCCAGACCGAATGGTGTGGCCATTGGTTGACCTCTCAAAATTCCAGCTGGGGTTCTCGGCAGAGCAAAGTACGGCGCCGGCTGCCGTTGCCCGTAGCATGGCATGCTTATGATAACCGGTTGGAAGCTTGGACAGGAGGTACTATAGCTCACCCCGTTGTCCGGTTGCGTTGGGCATTGAAAAGGCGGTGGTGAGGCACTACATCCACTACAGTATGGGTTGGGCGGGGGCGATACTTCAGACTGGGGGTACGTTGGAGGTGGTGGGGGAAGCGTTGGCGGAGCAGGAACCTCTGGGTATTGTATATTGTAAGGACTGTAGCCTGACGCAATTTGCCCCACCATTGGATCCACTGGAACTGTGGCCTGAGGCACTAGCTCCTCTTTGTTGCCAGCGGCTGCCAAGGCCTTCTGTGCTGGTGATCCCGCTCCTGACAAACTGCCGTAAAAAGCCCTCATAACCGGATCGTTTTCAGGGTCCTCCGTGTGCGACAACGGCACCCACATTAGCTGATCCTGAGGCAGGGGCTGATTTACTGGCTTGCGGTATTGCTGGTTGAGATCGTCCCGCTTAAAGTCGTCTTCAAATCTAAATCGATCCCGACTGCTCCCGACTATTTCGTGGTCTTTGGGTCTGCTCGACGATCTCGAATACGCTGCAGGATCATGCGTAGGGGGCGTGGCCGCTGGGCCTGGGCCAGATGAAACTCCTGTTGGAGTTGCTGGCGGGCTGCCCACAATTGGGTGAGAAAGTTCTGGCACGCCAGACGACTGCGCTGGAGATGCAGCCGGATGGGCAGCCATGGGGTGTCCATAGAATCCGTACTGGGCGTGGGGCTGGTGCTGCTGAGGAGGAGGCTGCTGGTGGGGCTCCTCCTGATATGGCGTCGGACGCGCTGACTGGTCTTGATGAATGGAACCTTCTGGAATTGCCTGCTGAGCATATGACCCGCCTCCAAAGGCGGGAAGCAACTGAAAGTTGTGAACGGAATCATGCTGTACGGTAGGAGGAGGGTTTATCGGAGGCGAAATCTCTGGGGAGGGGCGGTTCTCATTACCGGGTACCGTGGATTCCGCGCCCCGGCACATATAGAACGGCTCGCCCTCGCCTCCTTGGTGCCTGACCTCCACGCATCCTTGCTGTCCATTTCCGTCTGCAAAGTTAGCGCCCCGACACATATAGTACGGCTCATCCTTCGGGCTACTTGGCCTGATCTCCACGCAGATTGTTGTCATGGTCCGCTTGCTGCGATGTCTGCTTACCTCCCCGGCTCCAGTTGCACTTGCAGGTACTGAAAGCCCGATGATTAGACATGACCAAAGGAACAGCATCTTGAAGCTCTTTGGAAAAGTTTCCATGTTCTTCTTCCGCTCACTAACTTCCGATTGTGGCAGTGCAGCGCTTTTATAGTCTTGCACTTTCTGTTAAGGGAGCAGATCCATTACAACCGCAATTATAGAGACAACCAACATCCACAGCTTACCCAACTAAGTTCCCCGTAGAAATCTTTCGAAACCTCTTTTATTGCCTGAGTTATGTTTCCTCTATAAACTGCCACAGCGGGGGTTTGGCTAATTGCACAAGTTATCGGAGTTTAATTCGCATGAAAATCGTATCACTGAATAAAAAGCAATGCAAAGAACATTTTGGTACGGACCTGGGCAAGAGGTTTCGACTTATAACGGCGATACACTTCCATGTGCGGGGTCAATGGAATTTAATGTCAGCATAGAGAATGGTAAGCAGGACAAAACGCTATCTTAACTAATTCAAAATAGGAACGTTCTTTTTATCAAGGTCTTGAACTCTAAAATACATTCACAAAAATGAAAAAAATTGTTTGGGTTTTGGCCTGAATTTATTCGGTTATTGCTCAGTAATTTTTTGATCATTTTATTAAAGCTTTTGCCGATGTTTAAAAACTATTCAGGGTGTAGTAGAGCATCCGCTTGCACACTTCTGTGAAATTGTAAACCTCCTTGAATTCAGCAGATCCCCGCAAATTTTTGCAAGCATTGTGGCGTGTACAGTTCAACAAACTTCCCCGCTTCTTCCGATTTTTCAATGGTCAGCACTTTCCATGAGTGTCTGGGATATATGACACAGTTTTTTGCAGTGTGCTTAACATAAGCCAAAGCGGACATTAAATTGGTCAGTCGGTCAGCAAGCGTTAGATAGTTAGGAGGAGACAGACGGACATGGCTATATCGACTCGGCTAGTGACCCTGATCAAGAATATATATACTTTATAGGGTCGGAAACGCTTCCTTCTAGCTGTTACATACTTTTGCACGAATACAATATACCCTTTTACTCTACGAGTAACGGGTATAAAAATTTAAATATTTCGGAAAAGTAAAAATGCAGTTTTATTGTTTTTATCAATACCTATCGAAATGTAGAAGAAATTTTTCAAATCGGACTATTCGTTAAAAAGTTATGCGTGATCAAAATTTCTATCTCCATCTCCCTCGCACTCCCTTTACCTGAGTAACGGGTATCTGATAGTCGGGGCACCCGACTATAGCGTTCTCTCTTGTTTTGTATTCGATTTTTGGGTGTCCAAAACTTTAAAACGCTCTCCTGAAAAGTGGCCATTTCAAAGTCGGTGTACACGATCCTGCAAAATCTATCGGACGGATCGTTTTGATATTTTGCACAGTATTTCTCTACTAAATTCCTCAGGTAACGCTGTCGAGGTTTTTTTTTTTAATTTATTATTTTTAGAGCAACAAATATAATGACGTTTTGGGCGAAAATCGGGGTTTTTGAAAAAAATTTTAAAAATAAAAACTCAACAGCGTTACCTAAGGAATCTTGTCATTTATTATATAATTCTGTAACCAGTAATCGTGTACACCGCAAAACGTGTTTTGTTCGAGGCGCCGCCGGAGATTGCCTGTATCTCAATCAATTTTTAATATTTTTGAATGAAAAAATCAAACTTGAAGAGAACAAATACAGCACGCTTCGTAAAAAGTTTTATTACGTCACAAGGGTACTAAAGTTTTGACATTTTTTATACAAATCTATTTAAATCTTTGCACAACCAACAAAAAATGTGCTCATCATTGTGCAAAAATTTGGAATATGGATTGTTGTTTTTGGCTTTTCTATTAAAATTCATTTTTAGATATAAGAAAAAAATTAAAAAAGGTATCATTAAAAAGCGTTTGTTTTTTAGATTAGAAAGTAATTATTACAAAATAAAATATTCTGGAAAACTTCTAAGTTAATGTTTCGTACTTATTTTAATCAACTACAAATCACAATTTTATGATATGTTTAATTTATTCTTCTTCTGGTTCAATTGCCAGGTGTTAACACCAATTATTTTTGGAAATTACATTTTTTCCCCTGCAGATGCTATTATTTTTTTAAATATGTGTTGTATGTCGATATTGAACGAGTAAATATATAGGAGCAACTTTACTTTTTCAAATTATGTCGGCTCTATCGTCTATTTTAACGAATCCAGAAAAATTATGTACCGGAAAGTTAAAAAACGGGTTATTAATAGTAAAATGATTGCCGAAATCGGGTTACCAGAACTCGAGATAAATAATTAAACTGGCAAAAAACTAAATTTTTACTTAAAAAAACAGTATCTTATTTAAACTAACTTAAGGGGTTATATACCTTTTTGAGCGAAAAATTTGAGGGAACTTTGGATTTTTTTCAGGTGTGTAGCAATTATTTTATGACACTGAAGTTATTCTTTATTGATAGTACATGTTTTTATCGAAACAACAAGCGTTTGTTTTTGAAAAAATATAAATAATTTACGAAGTTATGGCAATTCTCTCGGAACCCTTTTTTTTTATAGCGGCTTGCGGTGACCACGATGGAAGTCCAGCAGGTCAATTGAAATCAAAAAACCAAAAAAATTGTATTTCTATAGTATTATTTCCAGTTCGTGAACGATTATTTTCAAGAATATTTGGTTTTTTCTGCATACAGTAACAATTTTTCCAAAAAGTTGATTTTTCGAGTTATAAAAATTTTATTAAAAAATTCTGATCTGCAAAATCAAAATTGGCGCAAAAAAAACGAATCGTTCACGAACTCGGCACAATCATTACGAATAATTTAAAAAAAAAATTGAAGAAGATCGATCAAATAGTTTTTGTGCAATCGCGGTCACAGCAAAGGCACTTTTTGGAAAACACGACTTTGAAATAATCGCATTTAAAGATTTACGTTGAGTATATGCAACTATTGAAGTCGAGCAGACAAAACGCTGTTTTCCTATCGAACTATTATTCGGATCTCTATTAAAATTTGGGAAAATGTTCTCTAGGGGATATACTTTAGTATTCAGTAAAAAAAAATTTGTCGTTTTTAAAAAAAACGAGGACGGAAGCTAACTTCGGCAAGCCGAAGTTTTAATACCCTTGCAGAAAAAGTAGCGAAAGGAATAAGGTATACATAAGTAAACTAGATTTGCATCGTTTCAAGTCAATTGCTTTTATACTGCAAAAATGTCATATACAAAAGGGATACTTTCGCAGCCTTTAACAATTTTTCCTATCTCCTTTAAGATATAGACTTCCGAGCGGCAAGCGCTTTTACCCTAATCAAGATATGTGTAAATAAATAAGAATTGGAAAAATTTATGTTAGTAGCTTACACACTGCGCGAAATATTCTGATAATCATCAAATTTGGACCGATTTCACCCTATTGTTCCTATGGGAGCTATAGGATATAGACGTCCGATCGGCACGCGCTTTCACCTTGATCAATGTATGCATAAAAAAATAGGATTTGGAAAGATTCATGTCAATAGCTTGTATACTGCGTGAAATATCCTAAAAATCATTAAATTTTTACCGATTTTACCCTTTTGTTCCTATGGGAGCTATAGGATATAGACGTCCGATCGTCACCCGCTTTTACTCTGATCAAGGTACGCATAAAAAAATAAGATTTGGAAAGATTTATGTCAATAGCTTTTACACTGCGCGAAATATCATCCATTCTTGCAAGTTATATCCGATTGTTCCTATGGGAGCTATAGGAATAGACATCCGATCGGGGCGGTTTTCAAACTTGATCTGCGTACACTTGTTTTAGGACGACTGTGAAAGTTTCAGATCGCTAGCTTTTAAACTGAGTTCGCAAACGGTTTTGAAACAGACGGACAGACGGACGGACGGACAGACGGACAGACGGACGGACGGACAGACGGACATGGCTATATCGACTCCCCTATTGATCCTGATCAAGAATATATATACTTTATAGGGTCGGAAACGTCTCCTTCACTGCGTTACAAACTTCTGACCAAAATTATAATACCCTCTGCAAGGGTATAAAAAGGTATATAACCCCTTAAACAAATTTTATTTGCAATTTCTGCAATCAATCCAATTGCTCGGAAAACCAAACTTAAAGCTATTTTTCTTGAATATTTTACAATAGATTTGTATTGTCCATTTACTTCTTACCCAGAGACAATGGTCTGGTAAATAACTTTTGAGCAAATCCGTTGTTAATATACGGATCGCAGACGCCTACTGGTTTCTCGTCCATTAAGTACATAAGAAATTATAGTCTAATGTTAGCAATTCAATACACTTTACAAATTACGAGTATACCATGGACAAGGATGAACGGGACTACTGGCACCTCCGATCCATTTACAACGAGGAAGTGCCGCGCTTTCCACCTACGAACATGGTGGAGCCACTAACACCCCGCAACGTCTTGCAGCTATACTTCAATACCTTCATTGGCGCCAATCTGGCCGAGTCGTGCGTGTTTCCGCTCGACGTGGCCAAGACCCGGATGCAGGTGGATGGCGAGCAGGCTAAAAGGTCGGGCGCCAGGATGCCCACGTTTCGGGCAACCCTCGGCAACATGATAAAGGTGGAGGGCTTTAGGTCGCTCTACGCCGGCTTCTCGGCGATGGTCACCCGGAACCTGATCTTTAACTCGCTGCGCGTCGTCCTCTACGACATCTTTCGGCGCCCGTTCCTCCACCTGAACGACCGAAACGAAGAAGTCCTCCGTATCCACTTGGCGCTGGGCTGCGGCTTCACGGCAGGCTGCATAGCCCAGGCGCTGGCGAACCCCTTCGACATCGTCAAGGTGCGGATGCAGACGGAGGGCCGGCGCCGGCAGCTGGGCTACGAGGCGCGGGTGAACAACATGGTGCAGGCCTTTGTGGACATCTACAGGCACGGCGGAGTGCCCAGCATGTGGAAGGGCGTGGGTCCCAGCTGCATGCGAGCCTGCCTGATGACGGCCGGCGACGTGGGAAGCTACGACATCAGCAAGCGCACCTTCAAGCGCCTGCTGGAGCTGGAGGATGGCCTGCCGCTCCGTTTCCTTTCCTCCATGTGCGCAGGGTTCACTGCCTCCGTGCTCAGCAATCCGGCGGACGTGATCAAGTCGCGTATGATGAACCAGCCGGTGGACGAAAATGGGAAGAACCTTTATTACAAAAACTCGATCGAGTGCATCAGAAGGCTCGTGAGGGAAGAGGGTGCCCTCACCTTGTATAAGGGCCTGATGCCCACTTGGTTTCGCCTCGGGCCCTTTTCAGTACTATTTTGGCTGTCCGTCGAACAGTTGCGCCAGTGGGAAGGACAGGCGGGTTTTTGAACGTACAATTATATGATGGTGTCGTATTATGTAGTTATTTTCGTGTACAATAAAAAACACAATATATTGGCCTCGACCACGAGTACGATTTAAATAAGATTCGGTCGATTTCATTTTATACGATTTCATTAATAACCCCAAAACTAAAACTCATAGAAACTAAACTATTTTGTACATCAATTTTAAAGTAACGAGTATTATTTGTCAATGGTGTATTTTTATAAAACTTTCGAGTTATCAATGCCATATATAACAAGATGAATTCGACAATTTACCCTAAAAATAAAAGTTCGATTTTCCTGTTCAATTGGACTCCCTGATTTTTTATGGTACCATTTTTGAAGCTATAGCTTCAACTATAGTTGGATTTACAATGATTTAATTTTAGGGCAATATAATTTCTAGTTAATCTACTTGGCACAGAAAATTTAAGCCGACCTACCAAGTCGGGGCAATAAATGAAGATAGTACCAAACCATTGTTCTACGGTTGCCTAGGGAAAGTAAATTAATTAACATTTTTTTGCACTGATTCAATGCGGTCAATATGTATTCCGTATTGTGGACTGTAGACGGGAGCCAGGAATCGCACACACTACCGAAATTAATAAAGTCTTTGTGACATAAGGATAATCGAATGCTTTTGACCCCCTTTTAAGAAAACCAAGCACCCCTCCGGCTTTATTAGCCAAGGACGAAATATGATCAAACTTTAGTTTTGGGGGCAAGATCTTTGAAAAGAGTTATTCTGACCAAAGAGCTGCCACTTACCGTTCAAGTCACTCATTTCGGGTTGATCCTATTGTAAGTCTAAATGGCAGGAAAGAAAATAGGCGTAATTTAACATTATCTGGCTCCCTTGTGAGACACCGACGGTAGCACGGATAATTTTAGAAAAAGCATTTTTAAAAAGGAGCGTTTGTGTACTGCCACTCAGATAACTTAAAATCCATATCAGGAGATCAACTGGAAACCCTAATAGGTCAAGTTTCCGAATAAGAAGTGAGTGATTTACAGAGTCAATTGCTTTACTAAAGTCAGTGTAAATGACGTCTGTTTGATATCTACTTTTAAAGCCCTGTGTCACAAATAAAATGAGCTCCAAGCGAGTAGTAGTTGTTGATCTGTGTTTCATAAACCCGCTTAGACAACTAGATATAATTGATCTACAAAGGTGTTGCAAATGAGGAGGAATGTTGTTTCGGTAAGCCGAAGTTTATATACCCTTACAGTTATTACAAAATGACTTCATTTCGATTTCTTTGCCTACAAACAATGAAGCTAAGTCGATTTTGCGCTGCATTTTGACATCGTTTCTATTACAGCTACATACATATATTGTTTTCCGATTTTGACAAAACTAAAAGCGTAATTCTGATATAGTAAACAATTACTACATCTCAAAGAAATATTTTGATAACGTTTGCACTGTCTTTCTTGCGAGAAGGCGAACATTTTTTATTTTTGAAAAATCAGCAACGGTATTAAAACTTGCCGTATTTAGCTTTCGTTCTCGTTATACCCTTGCAGAGGGTATTATAATTTCAGTCAAAAGAAAAAAATCTAAATAAGAAAGGAAAGCTAACTTGGGGCGGAGCCGATGTTGATATACCCTTGCAGAATATTCTGTAAATTATATTCTCCAAAATTATTCATATGATGCATTCTTAATACTCATAAAAAAAATCCCAACTTCCTTAACTTTAAAAACACCAAAGTTATGGCATTTCCAATCGTTCAGTTATATGGCAGCTATAGGATATAGTCGGCCGATCCTTATGAAATTGGGTAGGTCGGATTGATTGGCCAAACATAAAACCATTAAAAAATCCCAACTTCCTAACTTTACAAACACCAAAGTTATGGCATTTCCGATCGTTCAGTTGTATGGCAGCTATAGGATATAACTTTGATGTTTTTAAAGTTTCGAATTGGAATTTTCAATGCGTTTTATTCGGCCGACTATATCCTATAGCTGCCATATAACTGAACGATTGGAAATGCCATAACTTACAGAATATTCTGCAAGGGTATATCAACTTCAGCTCCGCCCGAAATTAGCGTTCCTTTCTTGTTGTTTTTCGTAATATATATATGTATATAGGCATAGATATAAAAATGTAGTAGTTTTGTAATAGCTGCAAGGGTATATAAACTTCGGCTTGCCTAAGTTTGCCTTCTTTCTTGTTTTGTTTTGAATTTTATTCTTGGACCGAAAAATCATGGCCATTAAAATTTCCATTCTTAATTGAATGTCCCAATCTTGAAAGGTACTCTCGATCAGCGGCAAATAAATTGGAACTTACCGTTACAAACACACGCGCATTAAATCGCGAAGAAATGCGAAAGCCATAGGCCAAACCGACCATAATAATAAATAATACCGAGTGATTAATTTTTGAGGCTGATAAAAGTTGTGCTCACCCATACATATGTATGTATGTATTTCTGCTTCGCTCCAGGTCTTTAGTTGATTAATTTTTGTTTTCACCAGAAATAGCAAAAATTTCTTATATTTTGAGAGAGCTGCAACATATGCAGCCCAAAAGCCCCAAATTTCTGTACAATTTCACACATGGCGGGTATGGATGGTTAAAGTGGGTCAATGTCTTTCTGCCAGATGACAGCCGAATTATAATATGCAAAAACGACAATTACTGAAAGAAAAAGCAGCTGCATAGAGGACGGGCTTGCTCACGTCTCTTCTGCTGACGGCCAAAAACCAAAAGAAAAAAATTAATAAATAAGTATGTTTTATTTATGAATATTTACGGAAAAAAAAAATTGCGGCATTGCGTCAGCCATTTTCAACGAATGTACGACTACGAAAATAAAATGGCCATCCGCACAGACCAAAAATGGCTAACGCTGAAAGCACTGGCCAATAATATAATAATTAGAAGAAACCGTAAGTGCAGAAAAAATTGTTTATGCGACCATGAAATGGCTTACACAAACAAGATAGGAACGCAGACTTCATTGATCTATCGATCAACCCCCAACCCAGTATAATAAAGCAGCTTACTTTTTATGAGGAGCATTTTCAGTTGTCTCACTCGTCTTTTTCATTTTAATAGTATTAAAGTATCGTATTTTATATGATTTATATCCATAAATATGCAATCCGTTTTCATTTCACGTTTTTTTAGCTTGTACGAAAAATGCCATGGAGAGTGGGCGGGACCGGGAAACGGGTGGAAATCGAGGGAATGATGGGGATAATAGAGTATGCGAGAGCGCGAGGGAAGTCTTAAAATTTGAGTTTACCAAAACATAGAAAGCGATTTAATTATGATTTACGTAGTAATAAGTATTCCTAAGCCGCTAACTTTGACATAACATAGGTTAGAATTCAACGCTATCGATGCATTTAGTGCCATACCTGGCTACGATGTGGAAAATGACAAACATCAAAGCAGATACATTTTTTATAGGAGTGAAAGGGGTACCTAGTTATAGACATGCATTGGGAATCTGAATATGAAAACTATTTTGATGAAGCCTGCACTTTGTAGTTTAGCTTTAGATTTAATTTCTCCCTATTTAATATCATTCTATAAAAATTCCACCACTGCGGTTGGTATTCACGATGCTTCCATTTTGGTTTTTCTTTCCAACATATAAAAATAGAGCATCGTGGATCTCCAAATAGTTTACATATATAAATATATATAGAGATATTTATTTATATTGGTTGTTATTTTCCTTTGTGTTTGCCATCCTCTCAGTTCCCTTCGCTTCGTCGCGTTGGCTTCCTCCGCTCTCTTTTACATTCCTTCTTTTGCTGCCCTCCGTCCATCTGTCAAATCGGAATCTTCTCTCACTCACTCTTTTTTATATAAAACCTGCGTGTGTATTTATGTATAAATATACATGAACAGTTTCGGTTGTGTAAATATTGCTATACAAAAAATCTTTCCAAAAAATGGCTGCGTTGCTTTGCGTGGTTGTTAATGTTTTTAGATTTTTTGTTGGTTTTGTTGCATTTGCAGTTCTTGTGTTGTTTAGAATTTTTATGAGGACTGAATTCTTATTTAGGGGCATTTTAGAGTTTTGTGTTTTCCTTTTATTTTTATCGTATAAACCAAAAAGTTTTAAATATAATAATGCAGAAATTTATAATTTTGTTGTAGTTGGGTAATTATTTGCGTTTTTTGACATTTTTCAAGCATATGCATTTTTTTACTTGTTTCTTTTCTTCTGCTACACACAAAAAACCGCAAATTCTTTCTTGGCCGTTGGTTTTTTACATAAATTTAAATATTAATAATTACTTTTTATGTGTTATTAGTTCATTTACGGTTTCCTTTTTATCAAATTTGTTGCTTTTGTTGTAGTTGTTGGTGTGTGTGTGTTGTTGTGGTTGATGGGGGTGTTTTGTGTTGATTTATTCTCCTAGTACCCGCAAGTAATCAGATAATCTCCAAGTTTCTCTACGACGGAAGCGGCCTGCTGGGGCTGAACGGGGTCCTCGTAGATGGAAACGATCACGGCTGCAAACATAGAAGAAAATAAGAAATAGATTAGTTTTTATGTATAGGGGTTTATAGTTTTTAAGTGTTTATATTATCGACCTAATTGGAATATAGAGAGACCGATATAAAGTCGTAGTAGTGGATATTAAAAAAAATAAGTAATGTAGCTAATATATGATCAAACCATATACATTTTTAAAAAAAATTCCACCACTAATACATGCAATGGCTAACTGTGTTTCATGAATGACTTCGCAATATACATGGCTTTTTGGACTGGCAGAAATAACTGCCTTATTGAATTGCCTTAATTGGCATAAATCTAGGATCTAAAGTGTGTACCTGTAATTTTATAATGTTTACAAAACACTAGAACCATTCATTCTAGAGCAGCATCTCATCATGGCCCTATCTACTTGTACAAAAACCGCAATCCGCACACACGCACCAACATCAGAGTATATGTAATATCCACTGTTCTAGAGTAATTTTGTATTTAGGAGGAATATATTTTAATTTGTATTTACATACAAACAAAAGAACAAATCCATATAATAGGCTTGGGTTTTCTTTTTATTTATAAATTTAAGAATTAAAGGGAATGTTGCGTTTTCAATCTAATAGTTATATTCTGATGATATCGAAAGTTTTTGAAAAAATTTCCACGTCTCCTAATACTATTCAAGAGGAGAAACGAAAAAACCATATTTTTTAAAGTTTTTTTGTCTTAATGAAATAGTTGATCAAAAATCTGTCAGGTATGTTTTATTTGTATTGTGCAAAATATTTTATTATTTAATTATATTTAATCTCCATTGTCTCGTAGAAGTCAGCTTTACTACTTTCCAAACTAATACTAAATATAAAATCCCTTTTTGCAATGTATAAAACTATTTGGTTTCACAATTATGAAAATGTATTTTGGCCCTCTCTTCAGTAAGCAGACTGTAAAACATTTTCTTCACCATCTTCGCAACATTACTTTTTCAGCAGTAAATCCGGTTGACAATGCTCTCAAAAGCGGGGAGAAAGCGGTTGTCAGCAGCGGAAAATAAGAACTAACCGTTTTTTTTTATAACAGGCAGCTAGAAATTATGAATAAAGCGATCAATAAGAGCGCCTGAGCCCGACGCCATCCGAAGTGAAAACTGAACAGACGGTTGAACAGACAACTCGCAAACGAGAACAGACCCGAATGACAAGTCTCGAGTTGAGTGGCTAATACATTAATCAAATGAGCAGAAAAGTGATAGACACTTAATTGTTTGGGTATTGAGTTGAGGCCGCAGCTCAACAGCTCACCGCGCGGTCGAATCAAATTGATGCGTGAACGGTCGCAGAGGTGGCTTGGGGTCAATAAACCGTGGCCGGCTTAGCTTATCCGAATGATGAGCCTTAAGAGTAGCAGCATTCAACAGTAGACCAGTTTTATTGGGCAGTGCCAAACGTCCACGACAAGTGTGAAACACACGAACCTCTTTATACGTAGTAAGTATAATAGCTTTTAAAATCTTGATATATGTTTCGAAGATTCGGAAATATTTTTTAAGTCGATACATTTATCACTTGCTAAGCCATCGTTTTTTAAAGAACTTCATTTTTTAAATAAGAGAAAAAAAATAAATATCAACTGCAAATACCTCAGAAGAATTTATCGTTTTAAATGTACTCGGGTGGAATGTGTTTGGCCAAAGTATGTAATCAATTTTATTTCCACCAAACAAAGTCGGTAACGTTTGTACGTTTAAGAAAACGCACACGATTGATTTTCAGCTAAGAGCTAATTACAATCTTACGTCGAATTCAGTTCACCTGTCATAACAGAAACATAATTCCAGTTTACTCGTTAAAAGCGAAATCCGAATCTTTGATTGAGAACGACTTGTGCAAACTCATAAGTATGGATATTTAACTTGGAAAATATGAGAGCATCGAATTTCCCTTTGGAAACTCTTGTTGATGTGGCCCATAAGGTAAGGGATTTATTGTTATTCCAGGTATATTTTTTTATTAAAATTATTATTCATTATTATTCATTACCACGGATTTCTTTGACCATTTATTTAATAACAAACTATGCTCTTTATTCTATATAATTTTAGTTAGTATTTTTAATTTCATCCATCGATACGTTGTCTGCCCCACCCGATAACCATTATCAGCTGTTTCTTTTTATAACCGTAGCCAAAGCAATTTTTAAGACATTCAAAAAAAGTTTAATGCCACCCGATTTCGCAGACTTATCGCTGACAAAAAGAATTTAATCAAAAACCTAACACATTACAAACAAATAATTTTGGCCGTTAAATAAATACGAAAGTTCAATTGAGGTTTTAATGAACAGGATAAAGGAGAAAAGTTAAGAGTAAACGAGCAGCAACGTTACCATTTTCAGCATCTTTAGCGTCTAAGGTGAACAGCAAATTTTGAGTTTTCGTTTTAGACTGTTGGACTTGCGACCAGTTTGTTTGCTGGCGCGGCAGTCGCCATATATGTACTGTTTTTTGCGGCAACAGTTGCGTACTGGCACACACATTTTCACGTAAACACAGAAATAGCAGCCCACCACCCTCCGTCAACCGCTGCATCCAAATGCTCAAGGTTATTGCCATAATCCATTTCAAGTGTAAATGTTGCACTAGGCGTGTGAGTGTGTCTACTACAGAGGCAGTGGCGTAAAAATAGAAAAATTTGCTAGAAATGGCAAATGTCTTTGTTCGTCGTATCAGTCTATGATTCGCTGCGGACCTGACCAGCTCGGGTCGGGCGCCAAGCAGCCGATAAAGCTTATTTATATCTTGTTCCAAAAATGCCCCCTCCAGCTGATCAGGTGTTTTTGCATTGTTACAATCGCGCACCGTATACGCTACTTGAATTACAACCTGCCCGAACGGGGTGACTTTTGACGGTCAAGACTCGCTGGAGCTTACAATAGCAGCCTAATATTGTTGCACGACGGCGAACATATTTGTTTAGTCTTAAATAGTCAATTTTGAGAGGTAAACAAAATTGGATAAGGCCTTGTTTGTCATGCTAGAAAAACTGGAGGGCGGAATAGCAAGTCAATTGTTGCTGCTGCTTCTCCTTTTTCGGGGTTAACACACACAGTACAGAAATTAATTATTTACTATATCTAGTACAAAATGTAACTAGTTTGACTAACATAAATATGTTCAGATTCAGTTCCAGTTTTCACTCGAAAGTGAATTTATACCATTAATTAGCACATTAACAGAACATTGATTAACAGAACGACGCTTTATTTTGTGATCAGTGTTTTTAATAAAAATTAATTTTTTTGAACTAACAATCGGCTGTCGACAAAGGCGTTAGCTTTGCCTAGGCTTTGCTCGTAAGGGCGGAACATCCGGAAAAATAATTTTAAAAAATAAAACTTCGATGTTCCTAAACATAAACACATACACTGATTGATATTGGTATACTTTAATTTAAAAATGTATACAACCTTTTACTATTCAAGTATTGGGTATACAAATTTTGTTTCGGCAATAATAATTCTATAAAACCTTAGTCTTTGACTGATTAGTGAATTTTTAAAGATTGTCCCTATCACGTTTTTGATCGCATTAAACTGATAAAAAAAGGTTCCGAAATATTTAAGTCTTTCCCTTCAAAACTTAGCGAGTTAATTGCACAAAAACAGACTTGCCTGAACATATATTCATACATTGTAAGGATGTTTTTTTGGTTGTTAATTTATAAGGATAATTTAAAAATAAATGCTTACCTTGTGTTGTCTTCATGCAGTGCACTCCACTCCGGCCAAGCTTGGCGCGCACGACGCGGTCTGTGCCGGAGAGGTAAATGTACCGCTGGCCAGCGAGTGTCACGCCGTTGCTGGTGAGCCCGTCCTGCTGGTCGAAGCCGCTGATCAGTTTGGAGAGCTCCTCTTTTGTCACCTGCAAGATAGTAAATAAGAAGTTATAGTTGTAGTAATAGTTGTAGTAAAAATGCTGTAGAATTAAAGTGGCGGCCGGACCCGTTTTGCTTTCTATATAGCACAAGCATGTAAACAAAGCCATTGAGTACTACTCGCCAAATTATGAAACTCATTCTTAATTTGTTTCAGCGAATTCTTCAGAACTACATACGCCACATGGACCTTGGCAACATATTTAAGGCCTAACATTAATTCAACAAAACAACACCAAAAAAGGTTTGTCCTCTAATAAGACATTAAAATATATCACATTAAATTTTAAAAAAATGCTTTCTGGTACTAGTCGTTATCGTCAACGCTGTACATTAATAGACAAAAGTATCTAGTAATCATCAAAATAAGTAGTGCAAGTCTATGATTTGTATGCACCAGCGAATACACAAATGTTAAAATATTAAATTAATCAGCTGCAGAAGGCCCACGCAAAGAAAAGCAAACCCACCCCCACACACAAACCACCACATATCTGCCACCAACTGCCAACTCATTAACAAATGTGGTTTTTTTCACCCAAGGGTGGAAAAAGGAGAGGTGTGGCATTCGAAGGCTGGAGCTGGCAAAGGGATACGGGATATATGCGTCTTTGTTTTAGATTTAAAAAAGTCATATTTTCCAGTCGGTGTAGCCAACACTACATTATTACATAAAAGTATTAAATACTCGTCAAACAAATTTGTGGAGCATGTATAAGATTTGTAAGTGCCAGCATACATCTTAGAAGAAAATTAACTGCTGATATATTATCGAAGTAATCCACTGCGAACAAACCACCACCCATTTGAAAAAAAGTGAAGTTTGCAACATTGACGATGCTAAAAATGTGGTCCATTCTACTCCGTTCCACCCTAGGGTGGAAAAAGGCGTGTGGCTTTCGAAGGTTGAAGCTGGCAAAGGGATATGGGATATGTGCCCATCTTGATTTTTGGATTTCAAAAACAAGTTTTGCACACTTGAATGACTTGTCCGTCCAGACAGAGAGAGAGAGAGAGCGAGAGACAAGGCGAGACAAAGATGGGGACGGTGTGAGACGGCGCACCAATGTCATTAGCCTTGGCTAAATACAGAACAAGTTGGCAGCCCAAGCCGATAACAGCTGCTTTTTCCAGGGGGTAAGGTAGGAAATTAATTTGAAAATCTCGTACAATTGATAGTTACTCATTTGCTGCCTTCCAAACGGTGACACATCAAAATGCCACTCGAACTCGGAATCGAGAAGTTTCCATTGAGCGAAATTTGGAACGAGTGAGAGAGCAGATGAGTCGGGAAAAGCCGGTTTTGCGAATACAGCTATGCCAAAAACGTTAATAAACTAAGCAGTGCTCATTAAAAGGTGATAGCAAACATTCCACTAGAGCCAAAAACCTTAGCGAACACCTAAAGTGTGTGTTTGTCAGTGAATTTTAGTGTCTGTCTGTACATTTATTTTAGATGCATATTCTGGCAGAAATGGACAACATATTTTACCTTTAAAATCCGCTTTGGGCAGAAAAGTGAGAGCAAATAAGCTATATAAAGATGTTTTTGATAATCCCCAGGTGAAATCTTCTTGTTTTCAGACTTAATCAGGTATTCGCATTGATTTCTAAAAAAAAAAAAAAAGTCTGGCAAGGCGCAAAAGAGCTGCTCAATCGTAAAAAGAATGAGTAATTATTCACAATAACTCAAGCAATTGAAAAAGCGTACTGGGATCAAATGTAGGTAACTTGGGTAATGCGAAACAAGGAAAACCAACAAAGGCAGATACGAAAGCAGTAGGAGATAATAAAACGAAAGTGATACGCGTGCAGAAATAGCAAGTATAAAATGTGGGAGAACAGGGGGAGATGATGACGCGGCATCGGATCAAAAACCGAAATACTGCTGAACACAATTTGACCAAAATTGGTTTCCAATCAAACGCTACCAGCACTATGAGAAAAACTCCAATCGACAAACAAAGCACAAGGGAGTGGCTGAATCGAGTGAAAACGGATAACGGAGAGAGCAGGATAAGAGCACATGGAATCGACAGGAAGTTGCACACACATACAGGAACACGCTATTCACAGAAAGGGCAAAAACGTGGCGCGCATACGGAAAATGCTCAGAGAATTTAAAGGTAACCGACTTAATTCACTCTCCGCTGGTGACGCGGCATCGCCTCCTGAAGACATTTTCTGTATTTCTGTTCTTATTTTCGCACCGATAAAGAGCATTCATTTCAGTGGGCAGAGGAAACAAACGGCAACCAAGTATAAGATTAAAATAAAAACTATATTGAGTGCGATAAGGGTGAGCGATACAAAAGGGGTGGGGCTGCGGGCAACAGACTGCATTATCAGGAACCAGTGTTGCACAGCACCCCAAACACTCGAGCCGGCTGCTGATATTAGACTTCCCTCTCCCCACCACTCCCACGCATTGAGTGCTTTTGTGATTACCGCGCATAGAAGCTGTAAAAGCAGTTATTATTTGCAAGAGATTAAAAGGCCAAATGGCCTTATTCCGCTCTTTAGCAGCTGGGACCCAACTCTAACTCCGATTAAGACCTTTTGAGTGGGTTTTTTGAACTACTCGCGATCACGCACACTCGCTTCAAGTGGGGGCGAGAGAGGAAAAGCGAGCCTGCGCAGGAGTACCGCTGTAGGGGGTGAACTAGAATTGGCGAGAGGGTGGGAGTTGCTCTTTATCAGGCTAAAGCAATCATGGCGGCCGAGAAAGGGAGACAGCGCGAGTCACACCCTTGAACTTGCGAAAATTCATTGTCAACTAGCAGTTTTCCGGCAGCTTCCCGTACTTACCTCAAAGCCATTGGACTGCGCCCAAATGTTGCCGTCGTGTCCGGCAATGCACGCCTTGGTCACGCACTGCGAGGCCAGGAGTTGGTTGTCCACATAATCTTGCCAGCTCATGGTGCTTTGTTTGTCGTGGGTGCGGATTGAATTGAATTGGATTGGCTGGATCGCTGTCGCTGCTTTACCGCACGGCGTATCGCACTTTCGTTTCGGGGGTCACACGAAATTTGCAGGGAGGCAAAGAAAAACCGCAATGCTGACGATTTTTCTTGGGGAACTTACTTCCAACTGCAACGAGAGGTGGAGAAAGAGAGAGGTAGACAGAAATTAACATTTATCATATTGCATTCGTCAATTATCATCCCCGTTAAATATGCAAACTGAGCGCCTTGATACGTTGGCTGTTTTTCCTTCGTCCTTGACAAATTAATAGGCGGCAGCAACGACTTAGGTCTGGACTTAAGCGGTACACAGTTTCAGCGCACCAAGAACCGAATTTTCAACCTCCGAAAAACTCACATATACACACACTAAGCACAGCCACACACACGGGGGATGAGACCAAGACAGACAGAAACCGTACGCCAAGCAGCTCCACACACGTCCGACTCGCTATGAATTTTCGAAGCGTTCAAGGCGGATTTCAAAAGTCGAATGAGCTACAGGCCAAGAAACATCGATGGTTACATCGAAATCATCGATGTTTTTAAAACGCGGTGTAATATCGATGTTTGCCGGCCGTCATCGATGTTTTCCCACCTCTAAGGAGTATTTTAACAAAATGTTATTTGAACTTTGAAAAATGTTCACACCCAAAAATCTTACTCCAGTTCTTGCACACTGTTAACGATTCCACTCCACTCTGAGCCGGATTTCAGAATCAAACCAATTTTGAATTTAAGAAGAACTCACTCCGGGAGTGACGCAGCCCCCTGCTGCGTACCAAAGAGCTCAAGCCGTGAGTCACCCGCTCAATCGCCTCACCCACTTCGAGAAAGAGAGAGAGAGAGATCAAGTGCAATAGTGCGGCTGGAGCGTGTGTGCGAGAGAGATAGCCTTGCGAGGCGGGCCGTTATTAATCAGCCGGCTGCGGACAATGCAAATGAGTGAGTGAGAACAGACGATGACTCAACGACGGCTCTCTCGGCGAGTGTTATGAATCGCCTCTTTTTGGCCGGCACTGAGTAACTGTCATAAATTAAAAATAGCTTGTATTTCAACGCCTATATGTATCATATGAATCAACTCGTATGCTGCAAACGCAATGTGTTATTAGTAACATTTGCTAGATGACAAACCGAAAACCGACCGCCTGCTAAACTTTCCCACTTAATTTTTTGCACACTTTTACACACACACATACGCTTACGGAGACGTACGGCCAACGCGGTTGGCCAAGTTGCGGTGTAGGTGTGTGGGTTGTTGCCATTTAAGTCTTGTTTTCGGCTAGAGCCGTCTTTTCACGCAATTCACCCAGTCTTACAAAAAATGTTTATTTGATCACGCAACCTACAGCCAGTCCCAGATTAAACTCTTTTAAAACGGAATACTAGAAACCTCACGGCACTCACACTGTTCACGCTGCGGTAAAATTCAGATTGACTAGAGCTGGGTTAACCACTCTGGATGGTATCGATATATAGAATGTGTGTGCTTGTGAAACTCTATCGGGATTTTGAATTCGATAGAAAATAATCGCATCTAAAAGCCTATTCACACAAACGGCGTTTCATCAACCCCGACAATATTCCGCAACAGCGATTTTTTCATCCATTCGATGTGACAGAAAAAGACGGGAAAACCTTTTGAAGAAAACCAGGGGAAATAAATGGATTAAAGAGTGCTAGCCGCCACATCATCCATCAAAGGGACCGTAAGGCAGGTCTAATAGATACATTTTCAATCGTTGAAAGAACTTATTTTCCAAATTTGCAAAGGGCAGTGGATAAATCATTAGGAATGCATTCCTCTTCCTAATGCTTAAATAATATTTAGTAATAATACAGCAAGTATTATCAATTTTTTTTTGGCTGGAAAACTCTTTTCTCACTTTCTCTTCGTTTTTGCTTTGTTTTTCTCCTTGTAGGCCGATCGGCAGCTTTTGCAATAGCGGGCGATTGTGTGAATGGGTCGGAGAGTGTTGCCGAATTAGGGGTGTTCCTCTATTTTAAGTTAAGCCCGATCTGAGTACTGATCGACGAAAACTGAACGCGAGTCATGAGAGAGTGCGAGAGACAAACAGCTGGCGTTCACTTTTCGTCAACGTTTTTTTCACCTCGGTCCTCAGATCGACGAAAAAAATACCAGAAAATTGCATAGCGTTGCCAATCTGTGAAAATGAACTTTGGGTGAACACTAGCGAAAAGATTAAAAAAAGGAAATCTTTTGGCGTGCGCTTCTCACTGAAGCCAAGTACTCAGATCGACAAGCGAGTATGATAGCGTAAAAACTTTAATCTTTCCAGTGTGACTAAAATTTCGAGAGTTCATCAGATTTAAGCGTGCTACGGTCGTACTGTCAATCAGCTGGGTTTGTTGACAAGCAGTTAGAATTCAAATATCGTATTTGCGGAAAAGAGCCTTTAAAAGATATTATCAAATACCTTGGCAAGTCTGCCGCTATACAAAGAAATTAAAAACAATACAATTTAAATTTATCAGTTGTTTTTTTAAATAACTGATAATTATTTGATAATTTAAAGTTCATAGCTGCACTTTTATTGTGTTTTTTCGTACATTTTTGACCTAAAAAACATTTTGTTCTGACAAGAGGCACCCCAGATAGTATTAATGTTATTTTGTCCTCACATGTAAACTCCTGCAATCGACTTTTGCGAGTTTTTTGAGTTTTTCCCTCCATTTCTTATAATGTTCAGTGAGAAGCGCACGCCAAAAGATTAAAGCCTAGTATCCAGATCGACGAAAACCGTACGCCAGTCATGAGAGAGAGCGAGAGGCAAACAGCTGGCGTTCACTTTTCGTCGGGCCTTTTTTTCACGTCGGTCTCCTGATCGACGAAAAAAATACCAGAAAATTCCATAGCGTTGCCAGTCTGCGGAAATGAACTTTGGGTGAACCCTAGCGGAAAGATTAAAAAATTTAATCTTTTGGCGTGCGCTTCTCACTGAACATTATAAGAAATGGAGGGAAAAACTCACAAAAGTCGATTGCAGGTGTTTACATGTGAGGACAAAATAACATTAATACTATCTGGGGTGCCTCTTGTCAGAGCAAAATGTTTTTTAGGTCCAGAATGTACGAAAAAACACAATAAAAGTGCAACTATGAACTTTAAATTAGCAAATAATTATCAGTTAATTAAAAAAAACAACTGATAAATTTAAATTGTATTGTTTTTAATTTCTTTGTATAGCGGCAGACTTGCCAAGGTATTTGATAATATCTTTTAAAGGCTCTTTTCCGCAAATACGATATTTGAATTCTAACTGCTTGTCAACAAACCCAGCTGATTGACAGTACGACCGTAGCACACTTAAATCTGATGAACTCTCAAACTTTTGGTCACACTGGAAAGATTAAAGTTTTTACGCTAGCGTAATCGTTTGTCGATCTGGATACTAGGCTATAGGATATGTAGAAATTGAAAATGGTAATACATTTTATAGACCGCAAAGTTTAATTTATAATATATTTGAGCACTCGCAGACCGATAACAAAAAATCACGCGCGAACTGGCAACCTTGTTGGCGAGTTGTAGCCCTGGACTTTAGATGGTTTTTCCAATAACACGTAATAAATGCTTATTTTCATGAAAATCAAGCCCTTAAATGTGAATTTTATCCAAAGAAAATATTATGATCCTAAAACCTTTATGGGCCGGCTGCTAATCCCGAAAATCGCGACGGAAACGTCGAATATTCCCTGACAGGTGGCGATATATGGCGATCGAGCAATCGATAGTCGGCGATGTTTTCTTACATCACTAAAACTTTTGCAAGATGGAGCCTCTTTTGCTTGGTTTTAACAAATCAGTAGCAGCACGTGTATAAAAAGTGCCAAATAATTTTCAAAAAATGTTAGTATATTTTATAGATTAAGCGTTCGAAATATGTGAAGCGGGCGGGCGAACCCGTGCACCATCTATACGGAAACAGTTTGATGCGATACAAGTGTGCGGCAATATAGAAAAAGGATTTTTAATTTTCTGACGGTCAGAATGAGTGGAACGCAAAAGAAAAAAAAATTACACGCCCGAATGACAGTGCAGGGAGTGTGAGCGAGAGGAGAGGCAGACAGTGAGAGCTAGAGCGAGCGCAGTGGTTGCTCCAAGAGAGTTTTGTTAGTGTGATTTTTCCAGCCTTTAGGAACATCCGAATTAGGCAAGTTTGCTGAAATCCAGTGACGTTGCCTCTTGACTAAGTCTCACGCACACATGCACGTTTGAGTCATGACTGGACAATGACGCAGACCGATGATTATGTTAAATATTCCAAGAATTTCCTCAATTTTGGTTTGATTTAGCGTTCTCCATCTCGATTTACGACGGCACGGCATATGCATGCGGTTAAAAAAATTCGACAGTCGGCTAGTTTTCTCTTTCTACTCTACTGCCATTTTTAACCGGCTACTACTATTTGCAACCGTCGTTAGACAACACTGGCCTCGCCGTTACGTGCACATATCGCCCGACTACTCTCGCTCACTGACATTGACACATGAGACTAATAGAGTCTTCCTGCTCGCACCCGCTCAGGGGCGGACTCTCGCCGCTCATCGCTCAAAAGGCCGCCTAGCTGTCGTCGCAACTGGCAGTTCAGTCTCGTTTTATTTTTTCTTTATACGTAAAGATACCGCATTGCAGAGCGCACCTCAAACGTAACGGACTGAAAACACGTTCAGCTTTCCACGGGAGAAACAACAGACATCAGTAGCACTCAAATTCTCTGTTATTTGTTTTTAGACAGACACGGCACAAATTGATTGAGTAATCCGTGCTCAAGCCGTCGAAATTCAGGATATAAGTTTACCTAGTCAATTCTTTATTGTTGATAATGTGAGTGCCGCTCCGAGGGTTGCGTTGCCAAGCGCTTTTCACTATTCGCGATTCGCCATAACCAACAAAAGTGGCTGGAAAATTTATACCCTTCAAGTCGGAGTTTTGTCTCGCCCACTAACATATTTTCTCGCACTCCTTCCGTTTGCAGGGATGACCGAAGTGAAATAGCTCAGGATGGTCCCGCCGGCATGGACCCCGAGGGAGTCATCGAGTCCACCTGGCACGAGGTGTACGACAACTTCGATGACATGAACTTGCGCGAGGAGCTGCTGCGCGGCATCTACGGTTACGGTTTCGAGAAGCCGTCCGCCATCCAGCAGCGCGCCATCATTCCCTGTGTCAAGGGTCGCGACGTCATCGCTCAGGCTCAATCGGGTGAGTACATAATTCCGATCCCGGTCCAAAGACCCCAAACGCAAAAACCCCAGTTCCCCATAATCAGCTCAGCCACCAAAAAAAAACGTTCGAGAATTTGCGAAATCGGCAAAAAGAGTCGGGTAAGCAGTGTCGATGACTCAGCTGCTGCGCCTGTGTTCTTTGTTGAAATTGCACTCTCCCGCTCTCTCTACGATTTTCGGCGTCTGCGTTTGCGCGCCACTTTTCGTTGGCCAGCTGGGTTCTGTTTTCGCTGAAGAAAGTTCCCAGAAAGGAGGTCGCTTGTCGGACTTTGTGCCTTCTAATTCCGGCTGTGGTTTTGTTTTGCCAAATTCCAGCTGTGGTGCATTTTTAAAGGTCATCTATGAAAAATGCGATTAACCTACAGATCCAGTTGGGCACTAATTCATTTTGCAGGCTCTCTGAAGTTCATTTAGTCCGCACCCCTATTCTCGGTTTTGCTTGCACCTGCCCTTCATAATCCATTCAGGGGATCATGTCATGATCAACCCCGAAATGCACGATGGCAGGGTTTTTACGACCGGGATGTAACTAGAACTCAACAGAAAAACTCAGGAAACAGCGTTATTGACTTACATATATTGGTATATGCTCATAATACCGTGCAGAGAAATTGTTCAGGCCTGAAAACCAATCGGATCGAAAAACCTTCATAAATCTCCTCACACAAAGTTTAGGGACTTTCGAAACAAGACAGCATAAGTTTACTTTTATTTCATAAATTTAGTCAAAAGTTTGGAACGCTGTGAACGCTGTCCATTTCTACGCAAACTAGTACCTCGGTTTTGATGCTATTTTTATGCTATTTTGTTGCCTTTATACATATACTCCGAGAATATTTTGTATATTATTTGAATTTTTCGCAATTTCAGAACGATCGGGGGAAAAAACTATATGACATTATAGCTTTGTTGTTTTTAACATAATATATAACCATATATTCGAAGATATAATAGTCATTTTTAACGATTTACTTTTTACTTTTATAAAAATCTTTTATATCATTTATGTATATCATTTAAGAATTACGGTTTTACTTTTATAAAAATCTCAAATTAATATCATTTATGTATAACATATATATATTTAATCATAAACGATCAGAAAAATTATAAAAACCGAAATCAGAATAGGGAATATTTAATTTTTATATCAGCTTCAACTAGAAGAGAATTTCATGTTTTCCAATCCATATTAAATTGGTATATTGTAATGTTATTACAAATTATTTGTAACTTGTACATTATAGCTTTGTTGTTTTTAACATAATATATAACCATATATTCGAAGATATAATAGTCATTTTTTACGATTTACTTTTTACTTTTATAAAAATCTTTTATATCATTTATGTATATCATTTAAGAATTACGGTTTTACTTTTATAAAAATCTCAAATCTCAAATTAATATCATTTATGTATATCATATATATATTTAATCATAAACGATCAGAAAAATTATAAAAACCGAAATCAGAATGGGGAATATTTAATTTTTTTATCAGCTTCAACTAGAAGATAATTTCATGTTTTTCAATTCATATTAAATTGGTATATTGTAATGTTATTTCAAATTATTTGTACCCTTCGTATAACCGCTGTACAAGGCTCTAACATACATTTAGAAAACTGCACACTCGCCGTAAAATTTGTCTTAAGTATCGTCCCACATTTGTTCAATGTTCTCAAAAATAATAACAATTAAACAAAAACTTATGTCAATACTTGCAACCGCAATGAAAAGTTAATTGAACTATATAGGACAATGAACTTTGAAAATTAGTTTTATGTTTATATTCCAAGTACAAAGATTTGTTTATTTCATGTTGAGGTTGTTAAGAAAATATTTTAAATTCCCGTTTTCAGATAATCTTCCCCACAAATCAAATTAAGTACATGCTTATAAATCTGCATCTTCTTATCTTCCTTAGGAACTGGCAAGACTGCCACCTTCTCGATTGCCATCCTTCAGCAGATCGACACGTCCATTCGCGAATGCCAAGCTTTGATCCTGGCCCCCACTCGTGAGTTGGCCACGCAGATCCAGCGCGTGGTGATGGCGCTGGGCGAGTACATGAAGGTCCACTCGCACGCCTGCATCGGCGGCACCAACGTGCGCGAGGACGCCCGCATCCTGGAGTCCGGATGCCATGTTGTAGTGGGCACGCCCGGTCGCGTCTACGACATGATCAACCGCAAGGTGCTGCGCACACAGTACATCAAGCTGTTCGTGCTGGATGAGGCCGACGAAATGTTGTCGCGCGGATTTAAGGACCAGATCCAGGACGTGTTCAAGATGCTGCCCCCTGACGTGCAGGTCATCCTGCTGTCTGCGACCATGCCGCCGGACGTGCTCGAAGTGAGCCGGTGCTTCATGCGCGAGCCCGTCAGCATCCTGGTGAAGAAGGAAGAACTGACTCTCGAGGGTATCAAGCAGTTCTACGTGAATGTGAAGCAGGAGAACTGGAAGCTGGGCACACTGTGCGATCTGTACGATACGCTGTCCATCACCCAGTCGGTTATTTTCTGCAACACCCGACGCAAGGTTAGTTTACTCATGTGTATATAGTTTTTTTGAGTTGAGGAACTGTCGCAGTAAATGTAGTCGTATTTATTAATAAATAAATATAAAATGGCCCATCAATTAAATCACCATTAGGGGAACTAATTACAATTTTTAACTATTTTTTTTCGTAGGTGGACCAGCTTACCCAGGAGATGTCGAGCCACAACTTCACCGTCTCGGCCATGCACGGCGACATGGAGCAGCGTGATCGCGAAGTCATCATGAAACAATTCCGTTCGGGGTCTTCTCGTGTCCTGATTACAACTGATTTATTGGCGCGTGGTATTGATGTGCAGCAGGTCTCGTTGGTCATAAACTATGATCTGCCCTCAAACCGCGAGAACTACATTCATAGGTAAGTTATCACCAATATCCTGTAAAAAAGCTTTATAAAAAATATTTCCCTTATTATCACTTTATTTCAGAATCGGTCGCGGTGGTCGTTTCGGTCGCAAGGGTGTTGCGATCAACTTCATTACCGATGACGATCGACGAATCCTGAAGGATATTGAACAATTCTACCATACTACAATTGAGGAAATGCCTGCTAATATTGCCGATTTGATTTAAATATTTTCTGCTGAGCCGCAAAACAACTAAGAAAGAATTCTAAATAAAAAGTGAGTGAGCAATACAGCAACCTAGAACTGCGAAATCGATAACCGAGCGCAAATATAAATTATTCGAAGATCAGCAAAGAATTAAAGTCAAGTTAAATATTTATTCAACCATTAATTCAAAAAGGCAGCCCGACCATCCAACGACGGACTAGACGCGGACACAGAGCACCAACATCATCAGCAGCGGCGGGGAAACAGCAAAACCATTGGAAGCGGCCACGGCAGGAACAACATCTAGTAGCCGCAGAAGTTTACAAAATCTCGACGATAAGCCGGACATCCTCTGTATCCATTTAGTTCTTCTCTGTGTATCATCAATTTTAAAACTGCGTCGTCAACCAGCAACAACAAATATATACAAATATATACAAAAAAAAAATTTGCATCTATCTAAAGAAAATAATATTTGAAACCAGGTACAAGATACCACTTGCTACAAGGAGCAAGCAACATAAAGCAAAAGCCACAATATCAGAACATATTTTTGCCGCACCTTTGTTTTAGCTTTTTCTAGAACTATTGATAAAAATATATTAAAAACAAAACAAAAACATTTGTACACATTATGTTTAAATATACCACTCCTACAAAACAGCTGAAACACAAAGCAAAGTTTTACGCGTATATCCAGATCACACATATTTATATTATTTTGCGGGAAGGATTTGCAAATGTTCTCCAACGAAGATGTTTCTAAAAAATTTCAAATTAAACAAGAAAGGAACCAAACTTTGGCAAGCCAAAACTTAAATATTCTTTAAAACGACTACATTCGATTTTTGTTGTCTATTTAAAGATAAATTTTCGATCATTCCTATGACAGCTGTATTATGTAGACGTCCGATTTTTATAAAATTATTCTGAAGTTCTTCAAAAGTATTAAAAAAGAAACAAGGAATTTATAATTTTTTTCAATTTTTTTTCCGATTGTTCCAATGGGAGCTTTGCCATGTAGTTTTCGTATCCGGCCTGTCCTGAAAAAGTTGTATCCATATATACAAATCTGAGAAACTAGTTTGCGTTAAAGCGGACAGACAATATATACAAAACCGTTATAGGGTCTGAAATTTTCCTTCACTGCGTGCAAACATTGGACTGAAATTATAATACCTTCTGCAAGGCTATACAAATTAGACTTTGCCCGTAGGTTTCTTTCATAGGAGTTATGTGATAATAGGGATTGGTATCAGTGGCGTAGGCAGGGGTTAGAGTTTTCGTGTTAACCCACCAATGTGGTAATATAATTTTAACTGCTTCTTAACAAGCCCATCTGATCGAAAAACGAGTTCGCCAGCGGAAAAACCATAATCTTTCCAGTGTGATAGCATTTTTGAGAGTTCATTAGTATTTAGCGTGCTACGTTCGTACTTTCAACAAGCTGGGTTTGTCAGCAAGCAGTTAAAATTCAAAAATCTTATTTGCGTAAAGAACTTTTAAAGGATATTCTCAACTTCTTTGGCAAGACATGTCTTACTCTATACAATGAAATTAGAAAACAATATAATTTAAATTTAACAGTTGTTGTTTTTTTAATTACTAATAATTATTTGGTTATTTAGAGATCATAGCTTTTTTGGGGGTTTCCGTCCATTTTTCATCTATGAAACACTTTGCTCTGACATCCCAAAATATTACATTTTTAAACCTTTTCGCTAGGCCCTGACGAACGTTCACCCAAAGTTCATTTCAGCAGACTGGCCACGCTATGTAATTTTCTGGTATTTTTTCGTCGATCTGAGTACCGGTGTGAAAAAAGAGTCTGACGAAAAGCGTTCACCAGTTGTTTGCCTCTCGCTCTCTCTCATAACTGAGGAACAGATTTCGTCGATCTGATTACTAGGCTTTAAACAGTAACTCTGCGTGGTTGCGTTTATTTCGATAAGTGGAAGTGTAATAATTAGTAATCGACAAGCCAAACGTACCAACAGTGAGTACATTGCATTTGGAAAAATCGTTATGGTCGATTAATCTTATAGAAACCCACTTCCGATTTTATATCGGTTGTTTTTCCAGCTCCATCCCAGTCAGGTCATATTAGATTTTTCAGTCCACCCTGTTGGACGTTTACACAGTTTCCTTTCTCGCGCCGGTCGATAATAATGCTATTCTGCTACACCGACCTGTAGAACGTCATTTGTAACCAGCCTACAACTGTAATCAATTCGAGCATCCGAGATGGGTCAGAAAGTTTCGCGCAGCGACTTCGAATGGGTGTACACGGAGGAGCCGCACGCCTCGCGTCGTAAGATCATCCTGGAAAAGTACCCGCAGATCAAGAAGCTGTTTGGTCACGACCCCAACTTTAAGTGGGTGGCCGGCGCAATGGTGCTCACCCAGATCCTGGCACTGTTCGTTGTAAAGGACTTATCGTGGTTATGGCTCCTTGTGGCCGCTTACTGCTTCGGAGGCATCATCAACCACTCGCTGATGCTGGCCGTGCACGAAATATCGCACAACCTGGCCTTCGGTCACAGCAGGCCCATGCACAACCGGATACTTGGCTTCATCTGCAACTTGCCCATCGGCTTGCCCATGAGCATTTCGTTCAAGAAATACCATCTAGAACATCACCGGTACGTGCTACACGAGTCGAATCTATGACGTATGTAATGTACAATTATTCCACACATGACTTATTTTTTGTTAATGGATGTGCGTAACTGAAAGTTACTTTTCTTCTACCTCCGGCTTAATTTACATATTAAAACGCCGGCGTGTGTTGCCCAACACTGCCCCCTTATCCAGAAAAGCTTATGAGTCAATTTCCATTTTATTCCCTTTGAGTGCGTATAAATTGCGTTGATAAGATAGGGCTATACATAGTTACTATATCATTATATTATATATCCAAGTAAGCGCTCAATTGGTCACGTAGCTCAGCATTTTGTCACTCGAAAGTCGGGTAGTTTGACGCTTTAGGTTGAGTCACTATTATTGAATTATAGCTCATACGACAAAATAAATAGTTTGACCAGTGTAAATATGTGTGTTTATGTTTACAGTCACCCTCAATCTCTAAATATTAAGTGGCAGATAAGTTTTATCTAATCGCTTAGGTGCACCATTGGCGGATCGTTGATTGTCGTTAAACAACGTCCTGTTCCCAATAAGAAGTTCCGACTACGGCTACTCTTACAAAGCCCTAAAAATTTCAGACTATTGATTTCATTTTGAATTATTAGTTCAAAGCCATTACAATCGAAATATCGATTATATACCCAAAAGTTTTAGAGCAGAGTAAAATACATTACATTATGACATTCTCGATCTGCATCACTATTACTGTGAAAATAGCATCCGTAAATCCCATTATACAAAGGATTTGTCCAAGTCAAAATAAAAACGCCGTTTGTTAAATATGATTTATATGGCGAAAATTAAAGACTCTCGGTATTCCATGCAATGAAAACCGAGCAAGACACCAAAAAGAAATTGGGGCGCGGTCTTTATTTCTATCAAAAAAGAACATGCCGGTGAGGCATATTTATTGGCTGGTTTGTTAATCTTTTGACCTTCATTTCCTCTTTATTTCTGAAATAATTGTTTTATTTGAAAAATCTTCGGTGTGTCGTTAGATATTGGTGGCGGAAAAAACTCTTTTATAAGAATGGTGCGCCTTGCGGGCGTTAGAGTAGGTGTAACTAAAAATAAACTTGCGCATTGTAAGTCCCAATTTCTGAGTTCTAATAGTTACCAAGATTACGATATATAAGATATATATTTAATAACGCTTATTGTTATTATGCTGTTTTCATTTCCAAGTTATTAAAAGTTCCTTTTACCCCTTAGTTATCAAGGTGATGAGGCAATCGACACTGACATACCCACACTGTTGGAGGCGCGTCTTTTTGACACCACGTTCGGAAAGTTTTTGTGGGTGTGCTTGCAGCCTTTCTTCTACATTTTCCGTCCATTGGTGATTAACCCGAAGCCACCTACGCGTCTGGAGATCATCAACACCGTGGTGCAGCTTACCTTTAACACACTGATTGTTTACTTCTTGGGCTGGAAGCCACTGGCCTATCTGCTGATCGGAAGCATTCTCGCCATGGGCCTGCACCCGGTGGCCGGACATTTCATCTCGGAGCACTACATGTTTGCCAAGGGCTTTGAGACCTACTCATACTACGGCCCGCTCAACTGGATCACCTTCAATGTGGGCTACCACAACGAGCATCACGACTTCCCAGCGGTGCCCGGCTCCCGGTTGCCCGAGGTTAAACGTATCGCTAAAGAATTCTATGACACGATGCCCCAGCACACCAGCTGGACCCGGGTACTTTATGATTTCATCATGGACCCAGCGGTGGGACCATACGCCCGAGTGAAGCGTCGCCAGCGCGGCCTGGCCTCCTAAGCATTCGATGCTATTCAAGGTTTCCTGCCATGAATATAATCTCAACATTAGACCTAAAGCGGCTTTTTATGTATAAATACATCGTAGACACATTAAAGGATGTAGAAGAATCAAGGGAGCAACCAAATATATAGCACCAGCTAATCTATAATGATTAGATAAAGAACATTCAGACACTCGCAGCGGCTGATTTAAACTATTTCGTGTATATATACATTTTGGTATTATTGCTAGACTGTGAGCTAAGTGTGACTCCGTTGGCTTTAATTAATTGTTACCTCGTAAGTTAAAAAAAATGTTAAATCTAGTGTGTAATACTTGTCCTATTGTCTTAGTATTTTCGACACATATTTATATTGCTTTCAAATCTTAAATATAAAGGTATTAGTCGGTGTGTTTTGTCCAACCAACCAAGCACCTACTATTTTTATAGACTTTTGAAACTGTTACCTAAGAATAAAGTCGAAGACAAGTGTTTGGCCGGGGGTGGCTGCATATACAGACTACATTTGTAACTTGTGAGCAAAATATGATAATAAATAAATGCAAATCCAATGTAATGACTCTTCAACCAATTTATCTTTTTGTAGCTGGTGTAGTTTTTGTTACGTAGATTGCATGTTGCACGTCATGTGGGCATTGCGCTATTAACTGATAACACTAATTTCGATAAGCAACTGTGGAACGGCAATACTGTTATGTAGGTGTTTTGAAAGATAACTAATAGACCTTGGGGAGTTCAACTTTAAAATCGGCATGCCAATAGACCCCAACTTTTATACCCTGGCAGATCAGCATCAACAACTAAGTTGAAATAGCCATGTCCCTTCATACGCCCGTCTGTTTCCACGCAAATTTGTCTCTCAGTTTTAAAGCTAACCGGTCGGATCGGACAACTACACATGTAGTTGCCATGGGATTGATTGGAAATAATTGAAAACAAGAAAGGAAGCAAACTTCGGCAAGTCCATTTAGCTGTCATAAGAACCTTCTGGCCAAATATATTAAATAAATGTAATAATTTAAAGGTATACAAAAAACTTTAGCTTGCCATCCTTCCTTTCTTATTTATATTTTGTATAGTTCGACACACTGCTTTTAAAGTTGGTTTCAACAAAGATGTTTGCTTTACCACCTATGTTATTAACGAACATTTTAAAATTATTATAAAGATCCTTTTATCCTTTTTTGAATACTTCGCATTCGTACCGAAATCGGTTGACTATAACTTTATAATTATAGTGTCAAATAATTGGCTTAATTTGTTGTTTTCAAAAAATTACCCGAATGTCACGCTGTGTTTTTCATTTATTTCAGATCGATCCCTATAACGTATAGCTGTTTTCTTTTTGACTGCAAGATTACCCCGTTGCTATCTTTCTTCTCGTTAAAACACAAGTTATAGCCGTATGGTCCCTTATTATAAACAATTTCAGGTTTGTTAGCCAAGAACCAGCCAACTAGCTAATTAACCAGCAAATTAACTCAATTCATATACATATAATATGCATAAGTCGTGTGCATCACACTCAGTTATTCCCAGGACTTACAAAAATAATAAAACAAATAGTTATTTTTAAATACTATTTATATATAATTTATTTAAATTATAGAATTATATATTTTGTTGGGGAAAGGTGACGTGAAGGTAAATGTTTTGCAATATTTTTGGATCATTCATTGAAATTAATCGTACATTACTGCTTAATGAAATAAATGTGTTTATCCTTAATATGTTTGGGGCTCTGGTTTTGTATCCGTTATCGTTTATCTTGGGTTGCTTGCATTAGAACCTGCACGTTTGTCATCTTCAGTTTTTATACACATTTAAAAAAAGATTTTACAAAGTGTGTTCCGTTTTTTTTTCTCCTTTTTTAATTGCATAATTCTAAGCACTGTTTTTATTGTTGTACGTTAATATTACCAGTTATGTTTTTCATGTTTTTTTTTTTTTTTTTAATTAATCTTGTTTTTACTTCCAAGTTGCTGGATTCCTAGTCAACTTACTAATTTTAAATTAAAAATTATACATTTTTCATTGTATTTTAAATGTAAACTTAGATTTATACTGAATTTTATTTGTTTTGTATGATCATTTTATTAACAGGTTTTTTTTGTTTGATTTAGATTTAACTTGGGGGTAATAAACAAGAACATACAAAGAAAGGTGTGTCTACAAGGCGGCGGCACGCGTCAAATTGGAAGATTCTTAATGTTTGAAGATTTTTGCTTGGAACCTTAAGTAAACAAAAATGTACAAAAGTAAAACGAGAGTTGCCTTAGGTTAAAGGAAAAACTTAAATAAAATGTAAGAAAACTTTGCGTGCGCATTGTACGAAACTCGAAAGGCGAACACAAAAGTGAATTAAATTAACAAAAACTAAGAATAGCAGGTAATGGTAATGGTAAAAAATATTATAATAATAAAAGAACGTTTGACGAACGTAAAAAATGGGATGAATTGTACAAAAACAAATAGTTGTGTAGGTTTGTTTGCGTTTCTTCCGTTTTACTTAAACGATAATCCCTATGCTTGTTTCCTATTTCCTTTTCGTTTTGCTTTTGTATTTCCTTTTTTTTTGTTGTTTTTAAATGTGTTTTACGTTGCGGATGCGTAAGTTTAGCGATAATTGGTAATTATGTACTACAAAAACTTTCAAGTGACTTTACTAAAAATAGTAAATACCGTTAGTCGGCCTCTATCGTTTGTTAAGTAGTACATCATGCGTAAAACACAAATCGGCTGTTACTGCAAAATTTAAAACGTATCGACCCGGCAACTTCTGCATTGTTTTTAACTCTACCGCGCCGATTGCACCGCCCTCTGTTTGCCCGGCGTCGTCGTAGTCGCCGCACTCATACTGTGCCCGGACCCCGGTGCCCCGATGGCTACTGTTTTGGTGCATCGAATACAGATGTAATCGTCGTCCGCCTTGATCTGGCTGCGGTTAAGTCCCACACAATACATGTGGAACCATTCGTTGCAGCCACCGTCGCACTGCACCCAGTCCACCTCCCGTCCAGTGGGCTTATGGCAGTTCTCCGCCCGGCACTCCTCCTCGTCGTCCTCCTGCGCGGCCTGCTGAGACCGCTGCGCGTGCTTCTTCTGACCGACAGTTGAGTTGTTGCCGCCGTTGGCTGCTCCCTGCGCGCTGTTTGAATTACTGTTGATATTGGTGCTGCTGTTGCTGTTGTTCATGTTGTTATTGTTGTTGTTGGTAGCGGTTGTGGAGATGCGTTTGCGCTTCTTGTGCGTCGAGCCTGGTGTGGGCGTGGTAGTCGCAGAATTGCCACCACCTGCTCCTGTACTAGAGTTTGTGTTTCCGCCGTTGGCCTGCTTGTTCTCAGCATCTGCATCCGCTCCTGGAGTTGTGGATGCTGCTGGAGATGCCTTGGCATCGCTTTTGCGCCCCGCTGCCGCCGACCCCTTTTTGGCGGGAGTCTGCTTGGGCGTGTTTTGCTTCTTTCGCGGCACAGCTGAGTTGGCGCTTGTGTCGTTTGAGCGCCTCTTCTTGTTGCGTCCGCTGTTGCTGGCAGACGCCGTCGGCCCACCACTATTGCTGTTGCTATTGGGACTATTCTGCACCAGCAAACTATCGTTTGAGTCTTCGGCGCCGGATGTGGGGAGCGGATTTGGTTGCTGCTGCCGCTGACGTTGCAGGTGCTGGGCCACTCGCTCTATGGCCTCCGCCTGCAGCATCGTAGGCGGCATCGTTTCTAGGATGCGCCACAGCTCGAGCGTCTCGTCTAGGGAGACCTCCAGCAGATCGCCCTCCATCATCAGGTCCAGCAGATTTTCAATTTCACTGTCTGACAGTAGCTTGAGGAGATCGGAGTTGATGGTGGTGGGCGCGGGGGCAGTTCGCGGCTCATCCTCATCATTGCTAAAGTTGTCCTCGACGATTCGAAGACGGCATTCGTCTTCGTCGTCATCGTCGTCGGCATCGGACTCTGTGGAACCACTTGCCTCTTTTGCCTGACTACCACGACGACGTGGTTTCCGTGGACTGTTGATATTTCCAACCCCGGCTCCTCCACCCTCGGAACGCCGTTTCTGTTGCTGCTGAGCCAGTATCGCTTCCTGGGCCGCACTTACGTCGGGACTGCTCAGCGCCTTCCTTGCTCGATCCTGCCAATTCATTGCACGCTCAGCCAGGCAGCGCAACGCTTCGTCCTCGGGCAGCCGGATGGGCAGTTGCTGCAGCTGGACAAGCAGTGGGAGGATGGTCTCTAGGCGCGGTCTCTTAGAGCGCACACAGCTGTGACAAAGCCACTTCGGGCGATTAGTTCCTGATCCTCCTCCGCCGTTAAAAGTTCCATTTTGATTCGTGGCTGACGGCGATGGAACACAATCCTCATGAAACCAGTCGCGGCACAACTGACAGTTAAACATTAAGCTTCGGAACTCGGACTTGCACAAGCAGAACATGTCACGCAACGGGTTCTTGGTCATGTTCTGACGCCGAAGATCGCGCATATCCAGCAGCTCCTGCTCCTCGGCATGCTTAAAGCTGGCCACGATTTCCGCTGGATTTTTTTCCTTTAGAAAGTCATCCTGCATGAAGAAATGATTAGTGAAAGGAAGAGGGGGAAATTTAAGTGGTGCGTTTACCTGGAAGCGCGGCTTGAGATCCGAGTCAATATTTATGGCATCCGACCGGGGCATGAGAACCTCTAAAAGCGTATAGAAGGTGCCTTTCTTGAGGAAGGCGCACGCTGTGTTGTCTTTCCACTGGTGGGCGCTGTTCAAGTGGCCTTGCATTCGACTTAGCTCCTCCAGCTGAATGGGTATGTTTAGGCCGCGTTCGATCATTGCCTCAAGGGTGTGGCAATATGTGACGTGGTTGTTCTGCTGCAGCTGCTCGACGGCCCGCAGCCACTCTCGCGCCTTTCGAAGCGCATCCTTCAGCAGCCCATGCGAGGGCACCTGCCCGTTGATTTCGCCGGCCGACTTCAAAAACTGCTCTATTTCGCCCAGCTCGTGCTGTTGGTTAAGTCGCCGAAAGTACTTGGCCGCCTGCGCCTCCCAGGCTTCGATGTCTGCCCCAATCTGCTGTAATTTCCGCATCTCCCTGTCGACATACGGATCCGTGGGGTCCAGGTCAGCAGCCGCCATGTGTAGAAGATTCTTCACGTCTTGGTAGGTCAGCTTCGAGCTGGTCTCCCTCAATCCCTGCGAGCGCTTGTACCACTTGCATTGCTTCAGTCGCTTCTGTAGAAGATCGAGCTGCTGAAGCTCGATACGCAAAGAGCTGCCTTCGCTTATCAATGTTTCGAGCTCACTTTCCTCGAGCGCCTCCAGCGTCAGCTGCAGCTGACTCTCGGACCGGTCCACGAACTGTTTTCCCAAAACTAGGAGCTCGCGAACAGATGCGCCTTCGTCAATGATGCAGCAGAGATTATCGATTTCTTGGACGAACAACTCAAGCTCCTCCATGGTCAGCTTGTACTGAGCCGCCTCCTGGTTGTGGTCAGAGCGAGTGCGTACCTGGTTGTTAAATATCAAATTAGGAAGAATACAGATTTAGATTTGGAATAAGAAAGGAAAGCTAACTTCGGG